GTATCTCACACCGTCTGTCCTTCTGTCTAATCGCTGCACTTTGTTTTGCAGGAAAATACACAGTATCTTCTTCAGAGCCATCCAGCTCTTCTGAAAACACTTCCAAGTCATATTCTTTGCTTAACTGAGGCATTGCAAACGCTAAACTATTTAACTGTGAAAGGAACTCTGCCCTTTCCAAGACACACACAAAGAGCGTCTGTGAGTCGTCAAGCAGTGGACTGCTTCCCATTGACTATACTGTGCCTTGGTGCATTCTTCTGGAATAATCCTTTCTGGTTAACGTGTAAGGCAGGGAAGCTTTGTGAGGTGGAATTTTAGAGGGACTGCCAATAACAGAAGAAATGACAAGACGTTTGAAGCTTGGAAGGATCAGAAGGCCCTCAAGTGCTGGTAAAGACATTGAAGAATCCTTGGCCTTAAAGAGGGTGCTTAGCACTGTGCAGTACTGAGCCATGAATCGCAGTGCTACTCACAGCTGTTGTCCAGCGGTTTTTGTATTTCTTCTACCAAATCTCTGAATGATTCCAAAACCCTGTGAATTTAAACAAGTACCCCATAGCTTCTCACCTACCCTCCTATTAGAGTCTGGAAAGCTATCGGGTATGATGCTCTCTCATTTCTATTGAAGACTTCCTGGAGCCAAAGACTCACAACTGAGAAGGCCTATTTCAGATTCTCACTTCTGACTCATAAAAAAAAAAAAAAAAAAAAAAAAAAAAAAAAAGAAGAAGACTGTGATGATTCCTGTGTGATTTTCTTTCAGATGGGATGTACTCGAAGCTCTGTGGCACTTTTTAAAAGGAAAAAAAGCTTTATATCTGTAATTATAATTGTCCTTCCCTAGATGTAATGTGGCAAGAAAGAGAGGGTTGCTGCCCTCTGCCACAGAGGGTGATGCAATTATTAAGTGTTTTGTATGCAAGGAGTCTCTTTTATGAAGTCTGTATTTTTGGGTCTCCTTCCAGAGGAGAATCACACTCAGAGGGCTCAGAGAGTCAATTCTGCAATGAATATAAACCAGCATGTGCCAGGTAAAATGAAAGGTTTTATATAAATTATTGCTTTAACACTACGTTTGTGGAATCAGTTATTTCCAAGCCTGTATGCCTTTAAAGGCAGGACTCTTATTTCAAGCAGAGGACTGTGAAATAGCCTGCAAATTATTTGTAGCACACACAAATGTTACAAAACTTACTGTAAAATATGACAGTCATGAAGATATAAATTTGAGGCCAATATCAAGTACAACAGTCAGGTGGTACAGCCCCATATGCCCCATTTGGCTCCTAGGGAACCAGGCCTATGTTTACTGGTGGTGAACTCATTCCCAGGCCATTGGTGTTGACCAGGGTGGGAAACTTGTTGCTTACTGTTACAAATGTGTGAGGGATTGGTATGGGTAGGTGGTGAGGAATGAAGACAACAATCAAGCATCAATCAAGTGTATTATTTATACCAAAAGCAGTTTTTCATTTGAAAATGTAGTTATTAACACTAAAACTAGAATGCAGTTAGAGACTAAGAAATGTTTGAAATCCAGAATCTCCTTGAAATATATAGCCAATGGAAACTTGAAAGTCAGACCTTTGCACATCATTCCAAGCAAAATTTGCCTTTGGACAGCCATTCGGTCTAAGCCACTCTGTAAGGAGCTTGTACAGCTCTGATCTGCTGCAGAAGCCATCCTCTCTCAGTGAGTCAATTGTCTCTTCATAAATGGCAATGCACAAGTCTCTGGAGACAGTACAGTCCCACCACACCTTATTTCTGCTGATGTTTCACCCCTCAGATTTCATCACACATCCCAAATTAGGCAAGCCTGGGTCTAGACTGTATGTGAATGAAAAATCAGGATGTGATGCTGAGCTGTCTGGCACTGACGGGCCATCTTTCAAAGGTAAGATCCTTGCCAGCATTACAAAAAGCACAACAGTTTGTGAAAGAGAAATGACTAAATTATCTGTGCCAGTTTTAAAGACAAGGGGCCAAGGTTTCACTTGTATCTATGCATGGATCATGGAAAATGGGGAGGAAATAAAGGACAGAAGTGAGTGCTGAATGGAGGAAAAGCAAAAGGAAAAGAAAGGCAAACTCATGGCAGCAACCACACTATCCCCTTCCTACCCTCTCTCAGTAGCAAGAACCAGGTCTCTGGCAAGGACAAGGTGGTTCACCAACAGCTTGCTCACCGCAGGAATCTGGTATTTTGGTCAGCTGGCTATTTTTGGTCAGCCAGCCCCATCCTTCATCCTGAGTCCCCTTTGTCCTGATCAAAATTCAACCTCCTCCATACACACCATCTTCTGAAGTGAGGGCTGCCATGGCACTTGTTTCCTGACAATTGCCATCACTCTTACCTCCTCTTGCTTAACCATAAAGCACTAAGATAAAGTGCATTGTAACAAAAACCTACCAGGGTTATCTCATCTCTGGAAAACATGGGGTCTCTCCCCTACCTTCTTTAGCAATGGATCAGGACAAGGCAATACCTTGGCACCTTCCTCTGATTTATTCTATCTCAGGAAAAATAGTAAAGGATGGAATTGTGACATACATGTTTCTGAGTAATAGACCTGCCTTCTCCCATACTCCCTGCTCAGAGTTTTGGACTGTGACATTTGTTGAACAATTATTACTTATACATCAAGCTCAGACTTCACCCTTCATTGCTTAAAGACTTTATGAACCCTCACAGAAGCACATAATGGTCACGTCTGGAAGGGACTGCTAGAGGTCATTGGGTCCAACACCATGCTCAGTCTGGGACACCCAGAGCAGGTTGTCCAGCACCATGTCCAGGTGGCTTTTGAAGATCTCCAAGGAAGAAACTCCACAACCTGTCTGGGCAGCCCATGCGAGTTCTCCCTCACCTACCCAGCACAGTATTGCTTCCTGATGCTTAGACAGAACCTGTTGTGTTCCAGTTTGTGCCCCTTGCATCTTGTCCTGGCACTGGACACCACTGAAAATAGCATTGCTTCACCTTCACTGCCCTCCAGATACTCACCTTCCTTTACCTCCTTTCAAATATTTATATACAGTGATAAGATCCCTCCTTAAACCTCCTCTGCTTCAGTTCTCTCAGCCTCTCCTCGTAGGTGTGCTCTTATCCCTTGAACACCTCGGTGGCCCTCCCCTGGACTCCCTCCAGTATGCCCAGGTCTCTCTTGTACTGGGGAGCCCAGAATGGGACACAGCACTCCAGCTGCAGCCTCACCAGTGCTGAGTGGAGGGAAGGATCACTTCTTCTGACCTGCTGACAACACCTTGCCTAATGCAACCCAGGATACCATTAGCCTTCTTGGCAGCAAGGGCACGTTGCAGGTTTCAGGTCATCTTGGTGCCTACCAGGGCTCCTAGGTCTTTTTTTGCAGACCTGCTTTTCCAGCTGGGTGGTCCCCAGATAGTGCCCAGTGCCATACCCTCAATATGAAAAAAAAAAAAAAAAAAACAGAGTCCAGGATGACTATACACACTACAGCACTCCATGAAAATCAAAGTACCTCAAAACTGGGGTTTAGTTGTTAGGTGTGCAGTTATGAAACCTTATTTTTTTATTTATTTATTTTTATTGGACCATGAACTCTGGTGCTGTCATGGCTCAGTGGTCTGACCAGAGCATTTTCTTCTTATGCTGCCCCAGGAAACATGTTCAGGAAACAGCTGTGCTTGCCCACCGTGCTGGCCAGCAGCTGGTAGGAAACTGGGTGTGCTGCGGGTGGACAGAGCTGAAAAGCAGAACAACTAATGGTCCTGCTCTGCCCATCCCACCTCAGTGGCACCTCCAGCAAGCTCCACTGCTTGTAAACTTGCAATAAGAGCCTCCTTGAGGTTTTGGTCCTCAACACCTAACAGGATTCAATGCTGTTGAAAAGCCATGGTGTTGACAGGCAGATTCACCCCTAGACCATGTGATTCCTTGAGTACTTTCCTGTTAGAAAACCATGGTATGGAATATGACACACTCTACACAAACTTTGGAATCATTGCTTCTAAATTACACCCTCTTCAAATTTTATTCAGCTTTTTCTTTGGGATAAGTGCTGCTAATCCCTCCACAGCCTCTTCCTGGATTTTTTATTTTTATTTTTTCCCCCTGAGGGACAAAGTACAGTGCAAATCGGAGCACAACAGTTTGTGGCGGACCCACAGAGCCCACGGCCTGTGCTGCCATGGCGCTGCCTCTCCTCACACCACCAACCACCAACCCCTGAGGCAGGAGGGTGGCAATGGCCTGTCATGGTGTCCCTAGGCCCTGCATGGTGTGACAGGAAAGCAGTCGAGAAGTGGCATGGCCTGAGTCTGCCGGCACTCCCCTTGACACACCTCACATATTTTTGTCTCCGGGTCACTTTTTGGTCCCCAAGTTCAGACAAGCTGGGTGCCCCCAGCCATCTCCACACATTTCGCCTCACCCTCTCACCCCATGCGGCCTGTCCTGCCCTGGCTAAGTAAATGAGGCAGGTTCAGATCCACAAGTGATGCCATTGCTGATTTAAACACACACACACACGCTGAATTAAAAATAAAAACCACCACAAAAGATAGGACAAGCTCCTCTTCTTGAATATAATAGCCATGACATCCTGGGGGGACCCAGGACATCCCTGGGGGGACATCTTAAGTTTGGGGCTGGGAATCAGCAAAGCTACACCTGCTTGCTTCCCTGCTCAGGAGGCCTGAGCTGTGCCTTTCCCTCCTCTTCCTGGTTGATGAGGGGTGGCAAGCAACAATGCTGACAACAGGGACAGAAGGTACATGAGTCAATTGAAATACAGGCACACTGGGGAGAGGAACTACCAGAAACAATTGCACTTAGCAGCTTGCTTTTTGTAAAGTTCGTATCCTATGGACTATGTGCAGCATTTGCACTCGAACTGCAGGAGTTCCAGAAAGCTGCACTTTGCTTTTGACTGTGTTGCTCTCATCCATTCCTGTGCTGCTTTCCTGGATCCACTGAGAAGCAGCAGCAACCAAACATAAGAACTGCAAGTTTGCATTAAAAATGGTTTAATAACTCCAGATTGATACTCTTACACCTTATATATAATTATAATGCCTTAATTTAATACACAATGATTTGGTTGGTTTGTCATGCCACACAGGACTGGTGTGAGCATCAGGACAAAGCCAAGTGTAAATATAAGCAGCAACCAGCTCCCCGCTTACAACCAACTGTCATGAGAGTGTATTTTTTCGTTAGCTGCCATCCCTTATGACAGGTATCTGATAAATGAAAGGGTAGCTTCATCCTCTGTGATTACTTATCTTTTGTACTCTGAACATCTTTTGTTCTGCTTTTTGAGAAAACCTGGGTAATAAAGTTTCAAGTGCAGAGTCCTACAAAGCAGAGATCTTGGGACATATTGGATCACTGGCTTCCTGCCATCTGCAGTAAGGCGTTAACACATTATCCAGAAATCTCCAGTGTCACAGACCCAGTCTTCATTTTCATACACCCCAACCCTTCTCCTTGACTTGTGAGGCAATTATTTCTAGAGGGCTGTGAATTTAGTGGCAACCACAATAGATCCTGTCCTATGATAACTGCTGCTGTGCTCCAGTTTCATCCAGTGCCTGCATGAGAATTTTATAGATGTTTAAAATAACTTTAAGGTTATGACCAGACAATAGACTTACACTTGAACAATTGAAAAACTTATGTTGCAGGATTTTCTAGAAAGACAACTAGCTTTAATATGAAATTATTTCCCTGGTAGAGAACTAGCCAAAAATGCGTAATAGTAATTTACTGTGAATTTTATACAATAGCTACTCAGCTTTTGTAAATCACCATAGCTTCATGGCAAATGAGTGTTGATATACTGATTTACCTATGAATTTTTACCCTTTAGATATCTTGGGTAGCTCTTGAAGGAACATTTCTAGATTCAGTGTATGAACTTTTATTAGACAACTGTTCAACATGATCTTTTTTAATTGCCAAGTCTCATGAAGTAAACAGCTGGCAAAATGCTGACAGAGCATTTCAACATCTCTGCGCTGGCTGGTCTTCTACAAGTTGTATTCATCATTTTTCACTGAAAACTGATGTTTGATGAACTATGGAAAAACACCAGACTTAGATTTATCCCTCTGCAGATCTTTATCTTCTAGCCATCATGGAAATGAGGACGATAGTTAAGACAATGGTTCCAGCAATTCCACCAATTGTCATTCCCAGGATGCTCCCATGGACCTGCATTGACTGACACCTCTCACCTGTAAAGAAGAAGGTTTGTCCTGATGGGCACCTGGGAAAATAAAGCACAGATTTATGTGAATTAGGAGTTTTGTCCTCCTCCGTAGGCCCACCTTGAGATCCCCACACTCACTCTTCTGGATTGGCAGTTCCCATTAGATGGGTTCACATCAAAATATCCCCACCTTGTTTGGAGGCTATGGACATCCTCTAAAATCACCACAGAAGCAGATTCTTTTGGGCGTCCCTTCTGGTCACTAACAGAAACTAGTCTCTGCAATTAAATATTTTGTTCCCACTGTTCTTTGAAAACACAGTGACACAGACCTTTGAGATCTGTAACTCTGAATACTTAGTAGCTGCACCATTTGGTTCAGAGGTAAGTCAGGGCAACCAGGGAGGAGGTCTGTGATACCTGCAGCTCGGTCTCCCTTTCACATTCACACAGACTCCATCATTCTGGCAAGGGTTTGGAACACACGGGTCTTGCTGATAAGGCAGCCAATCTTGAACGGGTTCCATATCCTGGAGAGCTCTCTTCTGCCTTTCAAAAGGGAAGCCTTCCATGACAGCAAATTGTTCTGATTGAACAGGGACTTCAGTATTATTGAGGTGAGTTAGATCTTTAAAAAATGGAAAGAGGTGAAAGATATCAGATAACCATGACTATTATTATACATAACATTCTTCATCCGAGAGGCTAGATTGGAGAGTACTGCTTGTCCATTTGTTCTTTACTGAGCTGCTGCCATACCATGGCAAGTTCTGTATATTTAAAGCACAAAGTAAAAAATAATACTAAAATTATAGCAACTAGTTAGCTAAATCAGTAACAGTCTGTGCTTTGGAAAATTGTGCCAAGTGTGGCTGTTCTGTTTGAAAATAAACAAAACAGGAACAGCCTTTTAGGATGGTTCAAAGCTTAGAATTAACATAGCTACTGGTTAGGGTGCTAAGAAGTGAATCTTCAATAAATCCATGCCATTTAGATTCCTCTGAGCTTAAACACTTCAGCCAACATCACCCACTTGAAACTAAAACACAAAAATGCTTTTCAAAGTTGATCCCCATTAGAAGAGAAGATGGCTCAGGGACAGGTGGCGATAGTAATGTGAATGAGTAAAAAGGGATAGAAAGGATCAACAATTTGCACTTGCAAAGAGAATCAAGAAAATGGTCGTTACCATTAAATTCTGCAAAAATAATCAGGTCATCATTTTTCAGAAAGCTTCTACGTTTCAGCTGGCTGTGGGAGATGAAGCTGTTCCACCCCCAGTCTACAGTTCTATAGCAATTGCATGAGCTATCAAATTTTCCAGTTGTAGATGGTTTCCCCCATATTATGGTTCCATTACTACCTGCAAAGAGAATATGAGTGGCAAATAAGAACTGCAAAGTTCTGCAGCCTAGAGCTATGACAACTTTTTTTTTTTTTTTTTCTGTGTTACAATGTTAAACGGGATTTATGCTGCAAAATCAAGTTCAGGGCTCAGATATGCAAACAAATCACGGGGGGCTGACAAATGATGTCAGCAGATGCTTAGAAATGGTCTGTGTGAGACCTTAGAAATGGTCTCTCTAAATCTATGTGAGGGAATTTAAATTCACAACTCCCCTTTAATTGAGGACTGACCAAACACAAATTACCTCCTTGCTTTCATCAGCTAAGAGCTCCCACCTGCATGAGGACACCCCCTCATCATCTTTTAAGTACCTATGGTTGAGAGTCTGGCAGATTTTGTTCATGGCTGTGGTTCTGTTAAACATATTCATACCCAAGGTTTAAAATATCCTGCTGAAAAAACATGTACCAAATTTCCACTGAAAAATGTGAGGAGGGATGGAGACTAATCTTTGGTATTTCACACTGTAGCAAATTCAATACTGTCCCATACTTATTTCTTTGAATGACCACATCCATGCGGAGTCCTAGGGCTGGACATGGAACTGTGATGCAACATGCTATATAAATGTGGAGCTAAAATGTAGCCTGTGTCTGAAAGAGTCTTCAGTCTGCATCAAGCAAAGCAAAATTGGTGTCAGATGCTGCAGACTGATCTCATAGGTGTTGTCAGGTATTTTGTTTTATTTTACAGCTACAGTGTGGAACTTCTGTATTCAGACTGTGTATGTTCAAGTTATATCAAGCCCCAAAAATATAGTTGTAGCTTAAATTATTGTTGGATGCAATGGAATAAAGCACTCTACTGGCATTATGTTGTCCTGTGGTGGCAAATCACAGGCAGAATGGGAATTGCCAGCTCCTCGGCATAGGAGAACTCTCTACAAGTCTGTTATAAGGGGTAATGGTTTTAAAATAAAAAAGGGTGGATTTTGATTAAATACTAGGAATTCTTTACTATGAGGGTGGCAAAGCCCTGGTACAGGCTGCCCAGAGAAGTTGTGGATGCCCCATCCCTGGCAGTGCTCAAGGCCAGGCTGTATGGGATTTGGGCAGCCTGGGCTGGTGGGAGGTGTCCCTGCACATGGCAGAGGTTGAGACTTTAAGGTCCCTTCCAGTTCAAACAGCTTTATGATTCTACGATATTATTTAGAGTCAATCTCAGATATACCAGTGATTAATCGTAGTAACAACCTTCTATGTGTTGGTTTTTTTTTTTTTTTGCATCAGATGATCTTTTGAGATAGGAACTATGAGTCATAAACAGAAAAATGCCCCAAACTGGAAAATGAAGTCAAAGTTGCCCAGCTCTGGCTCCTGCACTGTCCTGTGACTCAGATTCTTTGGCTTTCATTTCCACCGTTCCTCCAGGCAAATAACACTTACCTGATATAACCTGGTCTTTATTTGTGGTGAAACTTCTGCTTGAAGACATCCTTTTCAAGATGTCAGGGTCCTGGTCCAGCACTGTGAGCATGGCTTGGCGGTTCAGAGCTGGCCACTCTAGAACAGCATCATTCTCTCCACTGCACAAATGAAAGGCAATGCGAGTGTAGCCACTGGTGCTGGATTGGGGATACAAACTTATGCCATAAGCATAACCCTCAGGACTGTAAAACCGAGGACTTTGAATAACGTCTCTTGATGGGTTTTCAAGGATTTGACTGAAATTCCGAATGACCCACACAGCTGTGGGACAGGGGGTCTCCGTCAGTGTGACATCGTCAATAATGATCCCGCCAGATGAATCGTTGGGGTTTCCCTTTAGTCCTTGAAAGAGGTATCGGAACTTCTTCTGAGCACTGAGGGTTACATGGGCGATTTTCCAGTTATGGTCATTATCCGCTTTTGTGAAAGGAAGGCAAAACATTGACATCAGCAAGATATTCTGAAGCAGCTTATTCCTAGGTAGCTATTCCAGCTGTATTTTTAGACAACTTGACCTCTCACAGAGTCATGAAGACTGGAAGTCTTAAGTGGGTATTATGATTATTTTATGCTTACATTGCATTATCATCAAATTGCTTTGGACACATTGTACTAGGAACTCTTCACACATTAGTGAATGCTAAGTCTTTAGTATAAAGAGCAGCATGCTAAATACCAAGACATAGGAAGTGGATGGGGATCAGTGACCCATCGTGTTAGAATGGACTGTTATGGCCACTTTTTCATGGACTTGTCCTTCCCTGCAAAATGCAGTAGCTTGATAAAGGCAGTTGATCACAGGTCTTGGGTTTTGACAGCAAAAATGTTTACTGATGCAGTGGCTGAATTTGTGCTATTTAGCAAAATCACCCGAAGTGGGAACTCGGTTCACATTTCCAAAGTTACATATACTTTTCTATTTGCAGACGTATAAAAAAATCAGGCTGGGGTTTCTAATGTCTAAAGAAGAGCACAGGTATTCCTAATCTTTAAAGATGAGCTGCTCACTGTCAGATCATACTATAGCCAATGAAGATCTAGCCAATGATCTCCAGCAGTTTGGGGTCCCTCCCTTCACTGAGCATAACATAACATTGTTAGATTAGGAACATCGGGACTTCTGCTGTGGAACACTTAAATTACATAATCACAACCCATGGATTCACTGCTAAATGTGAATAATAAATATTGCATAATACCAAAATCCTTAGGTGGACTGCAACATACTCTCCTGGTAGCTTAAGAAAAATGCTTTGATTTCTAAGCCAACTTTTCCTTCCCAAAAGTTCTATATATTCCTCTCATTTCTAGAATTACCCTGAAAGGTTTGAATTTTCCTCATCGTGCGAACATCTCCAGTCCCATCATCTTCCTTAAGCCAGATGATCAGCTTGTCAGAAGGGCTTCCTGTGATCTTATAGAAGAACTGGAGGCACTGTTGAGTTCTCTTGGGATAAAGGATTCGAGACTCCAGGACTGCTGCCTCCTCTGCATTTCCAGAGCTGGTGTCAAAGTACATGAAGTAGCCAGCATCTGTGAAAAAAAAGTGTAGAGCATCAACATCTCTTTCCACCTTTCCTGCTACCTGCACGGTATATATTTATCATTTCAACTCCACTCTTTCAGTAGGCATAAGTGTAGAAGCTAACATAAATAGTAGAGGAAACAGTGCATAATAACCATGCAGACTGGGGTACAAAGTAGTTTAGGACTAGTAGGGCTAATAGTTTAGCATATATATGGAACTCATTGCCAGCAAAACTACTGCCAGTTTTGCATTAGTTGGTCTAGCTGGAAGTTGGATGCCTCAGGAATGTCAGAGATGAGACAGAAGATTCAGTACTGACAGCAAGTAACTAGCAGATTTATCTTTTACTTGATTTATACTGAAGATAATCCAAAGATGAGATCTTGGAGATCGTATACTTTATTACCTTATAAAGAGTAAAATAATTTCTTATCAGTGATAAAGATAACAAAAAAGGTTTTGGCACTGACCTAGCACTTTCTTGACCTTGAGCAGAGATAAGGTCTATAAGTAACTTGTCCAAAGACATTTGAAAACTCAGCTTCTCGGGTTGAGCAAATTGGGCAAAAAAGAATTTCTGTCCCTCTAGTTTAATTTCCTACTAAGTTTCTCTGAAGTTATCTTTAGATTTGAAGTATCTACTTTTCTCCTTATGTGTACAAGGAATTAAGCATCTCCACAAATGTCATGAACTTGTCACATCTTATCTGTATTGCATTGCTCTTCAGTTACCCATTACAGTCTGTGATTAGATTAAACAGTGAAATTCTCTCAGCTGCTATGGGAAAGCCTCCTCTGCTGGGGGCAGGTTCCTTGGATTCTTGTGGTTTTAGCTAACAGTTGGCTTATCATCAGTTAAACCTGCGCCTGCATAAATGCAGTACAGCCACCTGCATCATCAGTGGAGCTACTAGAGCTGTTCTGTCTGTTACATTTGCTCTAACCATGTCAAGGCAACATTTTCCTTTACCATTAGGACATGGTAACAATGTTTTGAAATCATATCCATAGAAACTTTGCCAAAGATCCTGAATTGCTTTATGCACATATGTAAAAAATTGCTGTTAAGTTAAATTAATGTTAAATTGAAGTACAGTTGCTGCTGCTTCAAGTGGGAAACAAGACTGTGAGCCTTATTCAGGTGCCTGACTTTGTTGTTGAGCTTATTGTGGTATCAAAGCCCCAGATGATCCCGACTCTACCTCCTTCTTGATAAGAAAGTGAAATAAAAGCAACAGAAAGCATCTATGGCAGTTAGGATATGGCCTCAGTAGACTTCAGCAACAGGATAGATGGATCAATACAGAGCCAGGCTGCCAGTTCCTCTCTACATTTTAGGCTGTACTTTCCCTCCTTTATTTTAGCCAGTAATAAGTCAATGCAAGAAGTCACACTGTTTGGGCAAAATACAATCCATCTCTGTTAGGAAACCAAAATTAGGTCCCACCTGAGATGGCTGCAGAAGCAATTCTCCAAAAATGTCTACATTCCTGATGGAGTCAAAGAGCCTTTGAAGGCCTCTGAAAAGAGAGGCACTCCCTACTCAAGCAATTCATTTTGGCACTCTGGAGATCTTCAGAGACACCTAGCCCTCTCTGTTAACTCTTCAGGAAACATCAGTACTCATTTTGCACAAAGTCACAAGATGTTAAAGCATAAGTGCAAGCTAAGTGCTTACTTTGGACAGATTGGATTTTACCCAACAATATCAAAAAACTCAGCTGAATTCTTCTTTTTCATTTACAATTATACAATGGGGAAAAAAACAAAAAGAGCAAAAGACAGAAAAAAGACAGATGAGGATTAGAAGCATGTACTTATAGACACTGTCAGATGGTCTTCTTGAGTTATATTGCATTCTCAGACCTGACTGACAACCACCAGCATTACAAGTGCTTAAGGATCTCTTCTCTTCAGTGGCAGGGTCACATTAGGGGACAGTCTCCTCCTGTTTACATCAAGTCAAGCTTTGCCTTTTTTGAAAAGCAACAAAGCACAACTGAATGCACTTTAGGCCACAATTCCTTCACCCTGAACTTAGGCAAAATATACCAAAGTCACTTTTTTTCTTTTTTAAAGTCTGTTGCAGGTTTCCATGTCTAAATAACAACAAATCAGGCTTTTGCTTTTCAGAACTGTCTGTTGGGACTTAATCTTTATTCTCATTTGTAAGCTAGCCACCTGTAACCCTCACTGGGACTCACTCCACCCTGCTTGGGATTTTCTTCCTGTGAAAAATGGCAAAAATAGCATGTTAAAAACAAAATTATCCCTAGACTCCTATCATAAAAAAAGCACTGTAACTTTCTTCCTTCTCCAAAGCCAGCACTCCTCAAACTTAACTTATCATTCACTTTCCAAACATGTTTATGAGTAGCTTATGGGTGCTATTCCATTCTTATCATGGAGCAACATAATTCTTACTCAGACTTTGGAAGCTGCAGTAAATCCCTTTCCAGGTTATATCAACAGTCCTCGGGTTAAGATTGTTCTTTGTCCCCTCTTATATTGCTGGAGTGGAGAACATTCCACTATGCTTTAAAAGCTTAATGAAAGCAGTGGTGCAACCATAAGCTCAGACCCACAGTGCCAAGACAAGTGCAAAGAAAAACGGTGCTTTGCTTAATGTGAAACATTACAAATAGGTGTTTTCTGTGTAGTCTTCTAAATATGATCGTTTAATAATGTGTTTTCCGAGTAGCCAGTGCTGGGTTTTCTGAACAGGTGAGCACAATGACAGGTTCAGAGAAGTTGTTAAAGGTGCTGTATTTAAAGCGCATAGCCCAGCACAGACATGCACAAGATACCATTGCTACTGCTAACTCCTTCTCCATAGGAAAATGTTTGTTACTTTACCACTGCAGCGCCCAGAAACTGTGTGGTCTTCCTGCCCTGCAGCACTGCTCTGCTGATGGACCCAGTCTTGGTCATCTCTGGTGCTCTGAATCATGCCACAGATATTTTCAAGCTCAAAAGAACACTGATCCAAAAACGTGTGAGTTGAAGCTGAAAAAAAAAATGCACACATGGTTATCTCCGAAGTATTGTATCATTTAAAAGAAAACTGGAGTATTTCTGCTCTAATTTTAGTGCTTGTTTTGGTTTATTTATACTAGTATAGACATCATGTAGTGACAGCCCAAACCCCAGCAATCACAATCTGCTTGATGAGCATCCACTTGAAGCAAAGTCCAGCAAGCCACCTTAGGCAGGTTCAGCAGAGTTTGCCTGCACTTCTAATGGCAGATCCACAGGGACAATAACTTGTTGCTGACAATCACACCTGGTGATAACATCTTCAACCAGATCAGCAACCAGCTGATGGAGTGTCAGACTCTAGAATCAGCCAATCCCAGGTGCAAAATGATCTAATTAAGACTGAACATCAGTAAAAGAGGACAAAGTACATTGCCTTCACCTCACAGCAGAGGCGTAATGAAATTGCTCACGTACCAGCAAACAACCACATGTCTAAGCCCCTAGGAGCATCATGGAAGAAAATGTGCATAACCTGACTTTTGTTGAGTAACTGTTAAATAACTTTTATAAATGCAAGCAGTTAGCAGAGCCAAAGAGAGGGACGAGAAGGGAGTAAACAGTTTGGGTCTCTGTACCACAGTGCCCCCTTCAATACTGCTTCAAGAGCAGCTGAGAAGTATAACCATTTGTCATGGTTAAATTATGACTTACTGCAGTTATACATGCGATTAAGTCTTTCCAGGTCGATGGCACTGAAATCTAGACGTTGTCCAATTATGTCATTGAATGCTGGTATCTTCGTTGTGATTGTGGGGATACTGTCATTTTTGTTAAAGGAGTACGGTGCATAGTGCATCACTGATTCGTAGTCATAGGGAGTGTTCAGGTCAGTGATGTAGCTGTCATCATACTTCAGAAAGTTGTGTTCTCTGTCTGGTAAAAGAATAGGAAAGTTTTTCATCTCACAGATCAATTGGAAAGGAAATGGTTTTTAGCATGGCCTCTTGAATGCAGTTTTATGAGGCAGAATTGATCTACCTGATAGCAATTACTTTAGGATAAAATACTCAAATGTAGCAAGATTGGTTTATGAAGTAATTTTGACAACAAAGCATTGTCTTTAGATTGCAGTTTTGCATCCTCATATGACTTCAGTAGCTTCGAAGTCAAATATCAATGAGCTGTAAAGAACAATGTAAAGGAGATCAGATTAGATGGTCTAATGGTAAGCATCCTGAAGGACTAAACTTAAGGATTAATGTACTTCATTCCAGAGACTGTGAATATTGATGCAAAAGTTTCCCAGAATATTAGATCACATAAGAACAAGGAGGAGTCCTGGAGCTTTTTACTTCCTAAGGAGCCAGGTATGGCAGTCCTGGATTGCCCCCAGGCTCTGGTCTCCTTTGTAGCAAAGGGCACATTAGGAATCTGTGAAAAAAAAATAGTTTGTTTTACCCTAGATTGATTATATTGCTCTGGTATTGGTATGGAGATGTCTCTTGGAAACATGTGTCTCAAAGTCTCTTGGTGAAATCATTTGTTCTTAGAAAAAAATTTTCATTATGAAGGTGTCTAATGGGACAGGAAGAGGGAGCCATTTCACATACTTTGGCATGGAAGTAAATAAAGAAAGATTCCTAGCATTTCCAATCACAAATAATGTTTTCAGTATATCTGGCATTCTCCCTCTGAGAAGAAACAGCACATGGCTGCACTCAGTGGATAATTACAGCTTCTCTGTGTAACGGCTGCCCTTCCTTGCAGCTGCATTCTTGGCACAAAGGTCTTCAGTCCAAGGCTTGAGATTGTATAAGGGCTTGAGTTTATTTTCTTGCAGGTATCTGAATTGCACCTTTAATCAAAAATAGTAAGAATCTTGATAATTACATGCTATTGCTTTTTATAGCTGGAGACAAAACCTTGGCAGTACACAGGCATGTGTAACGTTTTTCAGATCATTACCAGGCAAAGGGTAACTTCTATTTGTTTTTAGAAGATACAAACCATACAGTGAGGAGGCAGTTTCATTTCTTAGGCTCTCCTGTGTGTTTTCTCTGAAATCTTATAGGTTTATCATCTTTTCTATCAATAGCAGCCTGAACAGGGGATCTCTTCTCTAGCCAGCAGCTATCTGCATTGAAGTCTGTGAAAATGCATTATGGCCAAAAGTGTTACCATGCTATTAAATTTGGGTTTACAGATCACTAATGCAGGGATAGATGGACACACATATATACATGGCACAATCATATCAGCCTTATTTCCTTTTAGAGGAGCAGATATTACTGCAAATTGAGGTGAACTAAACCAAAACCCCAGACTGAAGGGCACTGCACAAATCCAGCCTTGATAGATACTTTTTTTTACGGTCAAGAATGTTGTGCCTTTCTCTGTAACGTGGTAAATCCTGTCCGTGCTGATCCCAACAACACAGAGGAATTCATACTGATATAAACTCATACTGATGCAACCATCTACAAGCAGTTAGATGGAGTATGGCCCAAAACTGTATATTTTGGAAAAAAATGCCTGTCTGACTTTTAAGGGCGGTCTCTGTTCAAGGTGGAAGGTATATGTGATGGTCCTAGTTGCAGGCTAGCATAGTGTTCATGTTTCTGACATATAACATGGCTAAATCCAACACAAGGTCAGCAAATAAACCTTTCTATTTTGTCTCTAATCATTTAGTTCTTTCAAAGGGCTTCAGTAGAAGTTTTCTACTTAAGAAATTTGCCTAACTGGAAAATGAAAGCTTAGAGTATGGATAGAAATGTACACAGTATATAGGAATTGACTGTAATGGTATCAGCCCAGCTCCAGAGCTTCATTCAGAGTAGTAATAAAAAAACATAATCTGTATTGTTTTTCTGTTGTTCCACATTTGTGGCCACTTAATACACCACAGACAATCTCTCAATTCATCTTCGTAGCCCTCCTCTGGACTTACTCCAGCAGCTCCATATCCCTCTTGTACTGGGGAGCCCAGAACTGGACACAGTACGCCAGGTGAGGCCCCACCAGGACTGAGTAGAGGGGCAGGATCACCTCCCTCGACCTGCTGGCAACACTCCTCTGCATGCACCCCCGGATCCTGTTGGCCTTCTTGGCCACCAGGACACACTGCTGGCTCATGGTCAGCCTGCTGTCCACCAAGACCCTCAAGTCCCTCTCTGCAGAGCTGCTCTGCAGCAGGTCAGCCCCCAGCCTGTGCTGTTTCTTGGGGTTATTCCTCCCTAGGTGCAGGACCCAGCACTTGCCCTTGTTGAACTTCATGAGGTTCCTCTTGGCTCATCTCTCCAGCCTGTCAAGGTCCCTCTGAATGGCAGCACAGTCCTCTGGGGTATCAGCCACTCCTCCGAGCTCTGTGTTGTCAGCAAACTTGCTGAGGATGCACTCCATAAAAGTCAGAATCCAGATACTATTACTAACATCATCAACTTCATCACCTTGACTTGAGCTGAGACCTAATTAGTAGTAAGGTGATTTGTTTTCAGGGCTGCTGATAGCAATAAAAATCATGGTCTGCAAGATCAACAGACACATTCCTGCTCAGCCACCACAAGAGACAGCATGCAGAGGGCAGAGACAAGTAGGAATGCACATGGCCATTCAGCTGGGAGCAATTCAAAATATCATATAATGCACTTGGAGGTCAGCAGAAACTGCTTGTACCAGCAGTTTTTATCTATCCAAAAGATAACACGATGTTCCCTGAATCCTGTTACTTTCTGAAAAGCCTTTTGCATGTATTTTTAACTTCTATGCAAAAATATTGAGTGCATTACTCTGGAAACTTAAGTAATCTGGCTTCCACATAGAGCATGAGTGATGGCAGGGCAACTTTGCTGCACTGGCATCTCAAAGCATCACCGTTGGGAACCAGAGTTTATACTTCATGTCTTTGCTAGCATGCCTTTTGGAACTTGATGTAGACTCCCATTCACTCTTTTTCAGAAAAATATTTGATCAAAAAGTAGTACAGAACCAGCCCTCACAGAAGACAGAAGCAGAGACTTCCAAGGGGGACTGTGGAGACTCAGAAAGCCACTGAATCTGATGGAGTTAAACCTGAAAGCAAGTATCTGCCAGAGACATTGGGCAGTGGAGAGCAAGGTAGAACCGTATTTTATGTGTCCTATCTGATCTGATCACTTTGAGGCTTCTTTATGTACAAAGTAGATCTTTCCAGTCCCTGGAAAATCTCAAGCTCCGAGTATAAAAACTGTTTTAGATTTTGGAGAACCCTTCATTAAAGAGCCACCTCGAAACTCAGAACATGTCGGGGTCCCAAAACACCCTCCCAGTAAGCTTACGATTTGTAATTATGTGGCAAGAGAAAATAGATCCTTAGAGAGGGGAAGTGATGTGCTCAAAATCAGGGAGCAAACCAGTTGTGGAGCCAAGGGGTAACGGTCCTTCAGACTTCCAAGCAGATTCTCTCTCCTACAGCCTTCGACAGTCTCTGCTCTTTCCCCAGGGAATTTGTATCAAAATCTAGTTACAGACTGATTTACAGGGTCCTCTGGGGTGACCTAGTGTCTCTAAGTCATATCTTTAAGCAAGTTTTCAAATCTGTTGGGGGAAGAAAGATACTGATAAGTCTGCACTTTAGAAAATCTGACTTGACGTTCAAAACCAACCTGCAAGAATTTCATCCCACCAGATTGTCACATAGTCATCTCGGTCCATCCTTGACTGCTCATGGTAAAATCCCAAAGCGTGCAGGATCTCATGTTCTACAATTGCTTTGTAGTCACACCCTGCCCCAATAGAGAGGTTCTGTCCAGTCTGCAGGTCCCCCACCATGGACCAACACCTGAGAAAGAGAGAGGTCTTACTGTCAGATAGCGTCCTCTTCTTTGCATTTAAGTTCTGTCTGCTCACTTTAAATGCAAACTATATTATAGTACTATAAATATTTCTTTAAGTACTGACCAAGTACCTAAATATCTATAGGTACTCTACCCTGAAGGCAAACTAAGCTTCAAAAACCATACTCAGTGGGTGCTGAAAACAGAGCTTGAGCCTGTGGTGTCTTCAATAGCTGCTGCCGAGGAATTTCTGGTACTAGGCTCTTCAGCACCAACTTGCCAAAAATCATGGTTTACATTTTTTTAGGACACATATCTGAATCTCAAGGCAGAGCAGAGGGCAGAAATATAAGTGTCTACATGCTTTATGAAGCTTGGGAGAACATGAAACATTCACAGCTGATATAATGAGATTTTTGTCCTTTTCTAGTTCTCTTTAAAAGTATGTTTAGATATAGGAAATAATAGCAATAGTACAATAAATTGTCTTCCCACAGTTTTTTGTTTGTTTGTTTGTTTTTTACCTTTCTTACACAGATTTCAAAATCTAAATTCTGGTTATTCACATTCTTGGTATGTTAAGAGGGTGTGCTTTGGGGTCACCTCATCCACTATGGATATAAAACAACCCTAGGTTGGAAAGTGGGAGCAGTTGAAGAAAACCCAGCAATAATAGGATTCCCCTCATCAAAGAGTAGCCATCCTAACATTAAATGCCCATTTCAAGTTCCTCATTTGAATGTCACAGAATCACACGATCACAGAACTGTAGGGGTTGGAATGGACCTCAAGAGATCATTGGGTCCAATCCACCTGCCAAAGCAGGTTCCCTAGAGCAGGCTGCCCAGGTAGGCGTCCAGGCAGGCCTTGGATATCTTCAGAGAAGGAGACTCCACAACCTCCCTGGGCAGCCTGTCCCAGAGCTCCGTCACCCTCACTGAGAAGTTCTTTTGCATGTTGGTGTGGAACTTCCTGTGCTCAATTTTGTAGCTATTGCCCCTTGTCCTGTCCCCACAAATCACTGAAAAGAAGTTGGCCAAATCCCTCTGTCCCCCACACCTCAGGTATTTATACACATTGATGAGATCCCCTCTCAGTCTTCTTTTCTCCAGGCTGAGCAGACCCAGGTTTCTCAGCCTTTCCTCACAGGGAAGATGCTCCAGGCCCCGTATCATCTTTGTGGCCCTCTGCTGGACTCTTTCCAGGAGATCCCTGTCTTTTTTTGTACCAGGGAGCCCAGAACTGGACACAGTACTCCAGGTGAGGCCTGACCAGGGCAGAGTAGAGGGGGAGGATCACCTCCCTTGACCTGCTGGCCACACTCCTTTCAATGCACGCCAGGATCCCATTGGCCCCCTTGGCCACCAGGGCACACTGCTGGCTCATGGTCAACCCGTCATCTACAGGCTGTCCTCTGTCCTCTGCAGTCAGCAGAGGGAGGCAGCTGCTTCCAAGCTGGATCTAAGGTGGGTTACTTTTGTGGTGGCCTCTTTTTCTCTACTGACAACAAACTTAGACTAAACTTTCAGACTGCTGAAGTCAGATTAAATGAATTTTCATTTGATTCTACACAGCAGAGCTACACATAAATTGATATAACCTTACCCGCTTCCTTTTATAAAGAATATGTAGGTTTTCTCTCCTTCATATGGCTTGAAGTCAATGCAAGACTTAAGACGGAACATCTCAAATGCCTGGAGAATAACTCCTTTGGCATTCAGATCTGGAAAACATGTCAACAACAAAGCACCTCTAAGACACAGCATATCATTCACCCCAGCGAGGTAATACACACAGACTTGTGCATGGGACCAAAAGAAAAAAATGATTTAAAACAAAAGTAATTGTATTTGATTAAAATATGTTTTGTTATGATAGCTGTAGGGAAAAAATGATATTGGTGTAAAGGAACAATCTGGTTATTTGTGAATTTTACCGTGAAAGAACCAGATTGGGAAAAAAAAAAAAAAAAAAAAAAAAGTAAAATTTTTATCACAGTGACTCCAGTGCAAACAAGGATTGGAGTTAAAATTTGAATAAAATATTTGCATTACCTAGGTCATTGCCCAGAATATAGGGAATGGGGAAGTTCCATCTGTAGCTCTCATTTCTTATGGCATTTCGCTGCTGTTTCTGAAAAGGGAATTAACAGCTGGTGATACAGCTGCTGTGTGGAGATGGGCTGATTTGTACCAAAAATACAATTAGGTCAAATGCTAGCTATAAAGTTTTTAATTACTTACAGGGAGCATGATATCACCCTGAAAGAGGTCCAGTCCAGCAGCTGAAAAGAAATTTAATGAAAGGTAATGTAAATGGGCTATAAAATACATCAAAGAAATATTTTAACTCAAAAGCCATAGTGAGCCTACTCACACAAAGTTACATCCACAGGCACTTATAGAAAATAAAGACAGTCTAGCCTTAGCTTCAACTCAATATTTACTACTCAGCAATATCTGTATTTTTGATGGCAGAAATCTGGTGACATTGATTATCTGTGTCTAGTTTTATAACCTCTTGCTTGCTGCCAGGCAGTGGCAACAGTCACACAATGAGACTGTTCTCTAAATAACATAGTAATATTGAGGAATGCATCAGGAAAAACATTGTTCAGTGCACCATCTAGAAGGATATATGGAAATTTGCACTAGAGGACATTAAAAAAAGTAGAGGAAGACTGTACAATGGGTTGGGTCTTTTTCCCAGAGACTTTTCCCTAAGACAAAGCAATCTTAGGGAAAAGATACTTTACAAAAAGATACTGTACAAAAGATACTTTACAAAAAACATATATAGATGGGGGGAGACTCTGGAGCCTTTCAGTTCATAAGATGTGTTACTTTCTTAACACCAGGCCAAACTTCAGAAGTAAAATGTGCCTGCATTCTTTGCTTACATAAAGTTGCAGTCTGTCTAGACCACAATTTCACCCACAAGAGACCTGAAACTTCAGCATTTTGCTCACAATATAGAACAGAACAGAACAGAACAGAACAGAATAGAGTAGTTCAGTTGGAAGAGACTTTCAAAGGTCATCAAGTCCAACTGCCTGACCACTTCACAGGTAAGCAAAATTTAAAGTTTGTTATTAAGTGCATTTTGCAAATGCCTGTTGAACACTGGCAGCCATGCAGCATCAACCACCTCTCTAAGAAGCCTGTTCCAGTCTTTGACCACCCTCACAATAAAGAAAATTTTCCTAATACCTAGTCTGATCCTCCCCTTGAGCAGCTTGGTGCCATTCCCATGCAACCTATCATTGGTCACCAGGGAGAAGGTACTGCTAGGTTCAGGACTGGATGAGAATTTAGACATGAACTTACCCAAGTTTATGTCTGGAATATCTTTGGTTGTATCACCAGCGTCAGCATCTGCAGCTGCAAGACAGACAAAACACATGTTCAGATGTGGTGGTACACAGCAGGCAAAAGAAAATGCTACAAAACTCAAAACAGTTCACAGAGCACTTACTAGCTCCGCCAGAGAGATGCCCGACCTGAAAGAAAATAAAATACAGCCAGTATAAGCTATGGGATGTCTCTGGACTGAAAGGAGCCTGTAGAAATCAGGTTTCTACTTACAGAGACTGGAGTACAGTATGCATAACATAATAGAAGCGCTAGGCAGAGCAGGAAGCTGCTGGAGCCCATTTTTGCAGTGGAAATGAAAGCTGGTCCCCCTCATCTCTTGCATTATATAGGGCATGCTGCTGAGCTTCCCACAGAAATCAGCCAACCGGCGTGGAACTTCCCACCTTTGTAACGTTATAAAAGCAAAATTTTCCTCCTAATGGCAGGTGATGGCATTGCTGTTATCATTTACCCAAGTCCACTTTGGAGGACTGCTGGAGAGGAATGTGATAACTTCCCGTGTTAAGGGCAGGTGGTGAAAGGCTCACACAGACTTTGTGTGAGAAGATCTCGATCTGGCCCAAGTCCCTGACTCCTTCCACTGTGTTTGTTATCTGTCAGCATTACAATCTCAGCAACACTGGAATGAAAGCCACGTGCTTAAGGAGAATTATTGAGTTTATTGCTCTCTAGCGATATTAGAATAAATTAATAATTAACATGGCATTGTAAAGATTAGAGATAGAAGAGATATGATTATGTATGTCTTAAGAGCACTTTCCCATGGCTGAACTAGTCCCAGGACAGATGGCACAGTGTAAAACATGCTAACCCTGCCCTCCGGAGCTTCAAATCACGTTTGAGACTAAAAACAAAATATCAGAGCGTTGTTTTCTGAACTAGAAAGTGCATGTACAAGGTCAAGATTTCACATGCAACACCTTCACATACATCAGTAGATTCCTGGTCTTCCAGCTTGATGCTCCTTTCTTTTCTAGTGTGTTTCAGAGAGGGAAAACTTCTGCCTCACACTTTGCTGTCTTCCAGAGGGGACATGGGTCAGGAAGGACTTACGGGCTAACTGAGAAAGGCTCCAGAAAGTTGTAGATTTCACATAGGCTCTGCATTAGTATTTCCCCAATGTATTGGGTTTACATGGCAAGCTTTTGGTAGCGGGGGAATGCAGGGGTGGCCTCTGTAAGAAGAATCCAGAATCCATGTTAGATACAGGCCAGGTTCAGCTGGCTCCAAAGGGACCACTGCTGGCCTGAGCCGAGCTAGGGACCAATGTTGTTTGCACCTCTGGGAGAGCAGATTAAATAAAGGTGAAACAAACAAAACAAAAACAAAACAAAACAAACAAACAAACAAAAAAAAAAAAAAAAAAAAAAAAAAAAAAAAAAAAAAAACTGCTGCACAACAGTAGCTGGGAGAGAAAAGTGAGAAGCAGCTCTGCAGCCCCCAGGTCTGTGCAGCAGGAGGGCAGGAGGTGCTCCAGGCACGCAGCAGCAGTTCCCCTGCAGCCTGTGGAGAGGCCCCTGGTGGAGCAGGCTGTCCCCCTGCAGCCCATGGGTCCCACATGGAGCAGATCTCCACACTGCAGCCCATGGAGAAGCCCCCGGTGGAGCAGGTGGATGTGGCCTGGAGGAGGCTGCAGCCCATGGAGAGCCCCCGCAGGAGCAGGCCCCGGGCCGGAGCTGCAGCCCGTGGAGAGGAGCCTACGCAGGAGCAGGGGTGTGGGGGGAGCTGCCGCCCACCCGTGGGGGACCCGTGCTGGAGCAGTTTACTCCTGGGGGATGGACCTTGTGGTATGGAGCCATGTGGGAGCAGTTCTTGAAGAGCTGCTGCTTGTGGGCAGTCCCCACAGGCTCAGTTTGGTAAGGACAGCATCCCGTGGGAGGGACCCTGCGTGGAGCAGGGGCAGAGAGGGACCCCGAAGGAATGGTGGAGAAGCATCAGGGACTGACCACAGCCCCCATTCCCCATTCCCCTGCACCACTCAAGGGGGAGGATGGAGAAGAGGGTGGATAGGGGGGAAGGTGTTTTTAGTTTGTTTCTCACTTTTCTATCTTGTTACCAATAGGCAATAAATTTCTTTAATCTCTCTATGCTGGGTCTGTTTTGCCTGTGATGATAAATGCTGAATGACCTTGCTGTCCTTTTCTCAGTCCTTGAGCCTTTTGAGTCGTATTTTGTCCCCCTTTCCCTTTGAGGAAGGGGAGCGAGAGAGCAGTTGTGGTGGAGCTCAGCTGCCCAGCTTCTCTGGGTGACCTGTTCCAGTGCCTCCCCAACCTCACAGTAAAGAATTTCCTCCTTATATCTAATCTAAACCTACCCTCTTTCAGTTTAAAGCCATTCCCCCTTCTCCTATCCCCACAGCCCCTGACAAAGAGTCCCTCCCCAGCTTTTCTATAGCCCTCTTTAGGCACTGGAAGGCCACTGTAAGGTCTCCTTGGAGCCTTCTCTTCCCCAGGCTGAACAACCCCAACTCCCTCAGCCCGTCTTCACAGCAGAGGTGCTCCAGCCTCTGATCCTCCATGTGGTCCTCCTCTGGACCCTCTCCAACAGGTCCATGTCCTGCTTGTGCTGGGGCCCCAAAGCTCAGTGCAGGGCTCCAGGTGGGGTCTCACGAGAGCAGAGCAGAGGGAATCTGCTCCCTCACCCTGCTGACCATGCTGCTTTTTGTGCAGCCCAGGATATAGCTGACCTTTCAACTAAGGTACATGGCTCTTCTTCAGTACTTACAGGGCACGTGGCAAGTAAATGAGAAGCATGTCTCAAGATACATCATGTAAAACTTTTCACAGATGAGCAAAGAGAGCCAACACAGAGCACAACAGCTGTGATTTGTAGATATGTGGCAAGGCATGAGAAAAGAACAAAAACCTGAAGCAAAATCAAAGTACTCTAAAAAAGCAATCAGTTTTGAGTCTCCTTAACTTCAACTCCATCCAAGAAACTAAGGAGTATGTCTAAAGATAAGTCATTCTACAGTCATGTTCTTCAGTTTGTAGAAGACGAGGGTTATGCGGACATCTCAGGTTATACTAATGCAATACAATCTTGTATGCCCAACATATGCATCCCCAAATGCACCCCCAGACCCAACCAAATTCCCATTCTGCTTTCATGAAAACTTCTCAATAATGTTGAATTGGGTCCAGACACAGCTGAAGGTAGGGAAGCATGCTGTTCTTTAGGCAGTAAACAAGCTTGTGAATACTTGTGAGTGAGCATTATCAAAAGCTGGACTAGAGGAAGTCATAATGGCCAAGGGGAATGAAGGGAAACTGTAGAAAAGAATCTTGGAAAATTAAACACTGGTGGTTTTGACTAGGCAAGGCTGAACAGAGAGACTTCAGACTCAAGAATTGGGAATAAAAAACATTGCTAACAGTGAAGATAAACAGAAAGAATGAAACCTAGGAAGAAAAAGACTGGATATAACTGAGAAGCAATTTTATGCTTGGGCCACATTAATCTGCAGGGAGTGTATGGGTTTATTCTCTTAAAACTAGCAGAGATGCTTAGTTCAAATTCTTAAAATACAGAAGCCACAGAATATAGGTGTTTGGTGAAGTAATATATTTTATCTGTCATGAATGACTGCTTATACTTGTAGTGAAGAGGTTGAGAGCACTTCAAGGATGGACTGGGACTTCAGTTGTAATCAGAGGAGTGAGATCTGAAAGAAAAAAAAAAAAAAGACAATAAAAGGTATGAATTCAATGCATGGCATATATAGTACAGTTCTATCAGCTGTATTGGGCTGACTTTCAGGCTAATTCTGGGGGCAAGTAAAGAAACAATAATGATTCATCCAAATAGCTCCAGAGGCCGCAGTAGCACCCAGTGAGGCAGCTGGAAGGGGAAACTGGAATGGCAGAGAACAGAAAGCATGCATGGAGCTCCAGTCCATGCCCTTCTCAAGGGGATCCTGGGACTGCTGACCTGGAGGAGACTGGGGTGAGAGGGTAGAGGGCTTGGGCCAGAGGTGATGTGAAACAGGGCTGAGAGGTGAGGAGGAGGGAGAAGGCCTGTTGTGAATTGGGAGGCATGGGGTAGATCCTCAATGGTTATGCAGAGACTACCTCCAACTTTCATCAGAGGGCACTGTAACACTGCCCCTCAGCTTCCAGGCCCCCTGGTGTCAAAATGAATGTTGAAACGCAGACTGCACACTTAGACTGCAGCACAATTTTAATAATTTTAATTTTAATGTCTAGAAATTAAGCGGAACCCGTTTGTAATTGGAGACTAAACAGTCTCCTAACAAGGCTTTCAATTTCTTAACTACAATTTCACCTAGCAGCTGCAAATGCTTTTGGGCACACTGGCACCCCGTATCACGCAGAGGGACTGAACAACCCTCAGTGAATTGCTCCTGGTACAAAATGCTGTCAGGGAACATACAATGTCCTTTTGTTGTTGTTGCTAACAGCGACTTGGAAGAGTTGCTGGATGCCCTACATAACCTGCAGGCAGGCCGGACCCTCCTGCATGCTGCTTTATGCTGTAGCCTGCCCTTTGCATTTTTATTCGACAGCACATGTTCCTGATTAAAGATTCACGGGAAGCAGCTTTCCCATTCTGCCAAAGCCTTTGTAGTTTCAAAAGTGTTTCCATTCTCTGCTGGAATGAAAACAAGAACTGTGCGGTTTTCTTGTTTGTTTGTTTGTTTTTGTGAAGAGCCAGGGAGAATCCTTCTAGAAAAGCCTGGTTTTCACAGCCTTTGGCCACCTGGAGTGATTCTGGATCACCACAGTGTACTCCCAGCTGTCTTCTCCTATCCAAGACAAGTGCTACAACCAGTGTACCAGGGTCAGATAAGATTTAATGATCGTTAACTTTTACACCATTTCTACTTTCCAGGCACTGACATTTTCTGAGGGAAACTCACTTCAGAAGAGTGATGTCAGTGAGGGATCCCTTTGTATCCAGTGGAGATCAACGTATCAGGAGAGTGGTTAATCGCAACTATCTTGGGATGAGCTTAACTGCTCTCCAGAAGTACCAATTACTCTCAAATGACCCACAAGAGAGTGCAGAAAGTTCATTTTAGACACCTAGAGTGAGGCAAGATGAACACAGCCTTCTGAGGTGCGGCTGTGTCACAGAGGATGGGCATGCACCATCCCTCTGGCCTTCTCAGAGGGGTACCTGCCCACCAGGCTGCTGCCTGCACTAGAGAGCTCTTTGCCTTCTTCTGCCCTTTCCTGCCTCCTTTGGCAGAGCAGAGCAGCTGCACACATTCCTGGCAAAAAAACGGAGCCTCAGGAGGAAAGCTTTGGATCAAAAACTCCTACCTATTTGTCATGGTCCAAAAAGAACAGCTTCATTTTTCAAACCACATTTTTCTTAAATAGAAAGGGATACAGGAGTGTTTGCAAATAGCAACACCATGAAGAAAGATATCTTCAAGACATGGAAGTATAATCTGGCCTGAAAATCTTGATCTTTTGGGTTAAGAGAATCAAAATTATCCAAAGAGGTTTATACTGGGTATTCAAAAATCCGGTATAAAATCACTAGACATTTAAAAATGCAAACACTGAAATCACTAGACATTTAAAAGTCTTGTTCCTGAAATAGATGGCTCTAGAGGTTTGCTTATCACCCTCATTGTTTATCCTTTCCTTATAAACAGAAGAGTATTTACTTACTCTGTTCCAGTTGGGATTCTAATAATATGATACTGTACCTTCAAAATCAGCAAAAATAAAAAGATCGTCATTTTTGAGGAATTTTTTCCAGTGCAGCTCCCTGTGTGTCAGGAATGTATTCCAGCCAACACCTGGGCTCATGTAACAATTGCAGGCAGAAGAAAAACTCCCCGTGATAGATGGCTTGTCCCACTGCAGGGTATCATTTCTGCCTGTTGTGCAAAAATATACAAATAATTAAAACCGAACTCCAGTGAAACCAGTAGTGTCATATGCAGGACAAATCTGTCTCAGTCTCTCAGCTTTCAGCACTTTTCTCCAGCTTGACAAAACCTTCGTGTTTGCACGTTTCTCCCTGAAGCACTCTGACTTACCGTACACGAGCTGCTTTGGGTCTGTAGTAAAGCTAAGGCTGAGGGACATCCTGTGGATTACATCAGGGTCTTGATCCAGAGCAGACAAGATGACCTGTCTGTGGCCGGCCGGCCATTCCAGAAGGCCGTCATTCTGACTGCTGCAGAGATGGAAAGTGATCCCCATGTAGTTCACGTAGGGCGATGAATTTCTCCCATGAGGATAGAGCTGCAAAGCAAAGGCATAGCCTTCTGAACTGTAAAACACGGGGCTCGTGATGTAGTCGCCTTTTGATGTCCTGTTAAAAAGGGATGTGAAGTTCCTGATGTGCCAGATGTTAGTGGGGCAGTTCGTCTCCGTCAGGCTGGTGTCGTCGATGGCAATCCCGCCTGCAGATGTGGCTGGATCTCCTCTGATGCCCTGAAACCCATAGCGGAATTTGGTTTGGACACTGAAGGGAATGTTGGCCAATTTCCAGTGATGTTCTCCATCAGCTGGAGGGGAAAATAAATATATGTGAGAAAGGAAAGTCCAGGACATGGCCCTAAATCAAACTGTGTCTTCCTCAAGCTCCCTGTGATCTGTTTGGATGGTAAGTGATGCCTGGCACCCACACTAATGCAGGAATTGTCTTAAGGACTCTGCCTCTGGGCCACATGTTGTGTTCATGGGCACTAAATCTGGAGTTACTCGAATTGAAGCAAATAAAAGTTGGATTTACATTGGGCACTTGAGCAAGCTTTCATATGATAAACCATGCCAGCATTGTCTTGCATCAATGTTTGCCAGCACACAAAAAGCACTTCCACTTACCTGTAATAGTGTGCAGCTTTTCCATCCTCCTAACATTTCCAGTTCCATCATCTTTCTTCACCCAGATAACTAGTTTATCCTGTGGGCTTCCATTTAACCTGTAGAAAAACTGAAGGCATTTTTCTTTCCTCCTGGGATAAAGGATGCGCTGACTCCAGAAGAGCTGCCTGACCAGCGTGTCCCAGTTTTGTATCGAAGCTCATGAAATATCCTCTATCTGGTAAGCACAAAAAAAGTGTTGTGAAAAAACTTTTTGATCCAGTCAGTAATGAAATGAGTGTTAAATAAACTTTAGTGCAGTTTCCAATCGCCAGAGCTAGAAAGTTATTTTCAAAGGAAAAAAAAAAATCAATCGAAAAGAATTCTCCCTACATTGCAAATCAGTATTAAAATGAAAATGCATTGAAATATGACTTGCAAAGTAGTTTGGTTGATTAGATAGGGTGCAAGTTTGGTTCTACTCTTTAGAAATGAAGTGCTAACCATACATACGCAAGTCCTGTCAACGTGCAAATGTAAGTGAATGCACTCAGCCAGGGATTTTTTGGAAGACAAACTAGGAATGCATTGGAAGGGTCCTGTCAGGCCAAGGGCTTCGTTCTGCGGCTTTCCTGGAACCTGTGCCTGGTTAGCCCTCTATTGATAGATCAGACTCCCCCATAAAAGTATCTAAAGCCTTATTTGCCTTCTATGGGTAAAGAACTGATAGTAATTATTTCCTCTCTTTCGTATTTAGTCTGCTCTTCTGTCTGTGGGCCAGAGCAACACCTCGTCCAACTCACTGATCTGTCTGGTTACAAAGTTTGGCCACCTCTGCATCAGTCCTAGTCCATATATTGCAATTTTAATCAGCTTCTTGAAAGTGCCTGAGCAACTCTGGGCATCAGCTTCACCTAACAGCCTCTACACGTCCCCTCCCTACAGGGGATGCATTTTCCAGCTGCATCACTCTGGGCATTTCCAAGTACCCTGGGGCTGCATGTATGGGTTTGCAGTTTTCCCTCCGGGAGCCAAGCGATGCAAGCAGCAGGGACCACATGGAGAAGGCTCTGGAGTTGCTGCCCGATGCTGCTGTGAGCTCCAGTGCTGATCCCAGCTGTGTGCCTGTGCCTGGATCTGCTCCCACCAGCACTGCTGGCCTTCTGCACTCAGTTCCCTTACAAATACCCAAGCAAGCTCCCCCTTTCTCACCAACTGCGACCCGTCTATTCTCAGGAAACTTGTAAGGCAGACCTGCTTAGGCTCTAAACCTTCTTTCTTTTGCCTTCCCCCTGCTCGAAGCCGGGCAGTTAGCTGTCTGTCAGCAGCCACGAGCGGCAGGAAGCTGCTGTCAGCTCCTCTGCCACATGCTCCATCACACAGCCCGCACACTGTCAGCAAACCGCAAGCAGCAGCCCAGCAAATAACAGCCAGCCAGACTCATTTCTCTAGAAAGAAGAAATTTCTCTTTCCTTGCCAGCAAGCCAGCCTCTGATTCATTTTGCACGGTGGGTCTTCCAAGTGCTGGTTTTTGCATTCAGCCTTACAGCAGCTGCACGTCTGCCCTCTCGCCCAGGCTGATACAAACCCACATGTGGGATGAGAGCAGCTGCATCCCCTCACCCAGCCTGCTACCCGCCTGCTCTCCCTCTCACTGAGCAAAATTTCCTATAGCCACCAAATCTACAGGCTGTAGCCAAACACAGCGTTTGGCAACAAACATGATCCGTGACCTCCCAGAGCCATCTCTCACTGTCTCCTCCCTTGGAACAAGTCCCACAGAAATGACTTTCACTTCTTTCTGGTGTTTTTTTTTTCCTCTTGAACCATGAGGGACTTTTGTGAGCAACCACAACTTGCATTTTGGGAAGCAGATGTGCCTAACTGTGACCGCTTGTACCCAGACCGGATAGGCTCATGCCTGTGACTTTCATAAGCTTTTTTGCTAGAGGATTTTGGGGACTGTCTATGTGTTACATCTCTGCAGTGTCCTAATTTTTCCCCCTCTGCCTTTGAAAACAACAGACCCCTGCACAATTCCTGTATCCTGACAGCAAGCAGAGCTCAATACGCTCATCTTTGTTCAATACATGTTTAAGTGCAGTCAGAGCCAAAGCCCTGATCAAAAGGACCCCGTACAACACTGTCCTTGGAAGAGGGGTAATCACTGCTGGGTTGTTTCTCAGGTAATTCTTCAGCCTCCCCAGTGTGGTGCAGCTTGAGCAGGCTTGGAGCAAGCAGCAGCTCCACCTTCCTGATGTGGCGCTGCATCACACAGCACACCTCCCTTGGAGAAGTCTCCTGGGGATGTTTTTTCCTGCTCCACGACACACTGCTGAAAGTCAGCTTCCTATTTTGACCGTCCTGGACTGGTTTCAATATCGGAATTTGTTTATAAACAAGGTCTGTGTTTTGTGATATTTGCCTATGCACAGACTTCTGTAAAGATCCCTGAAGTGAACTCCTGTACAAAGGGGAAGTGTTTCTTAGCTTCAGTTTAAAAATAATAATAATAATCTCAAAATACTGTAATATATGCATAAAAGGAGGAGAGTCTCATCTGACTTAATTCTGTGGAGTTTTACCGAAGTCAGCTGTAGCAAACGGGTGAGAATCCCTGAGTTTCTATAGAACTGATACGAATTTGCAGCACCTAAATCTCAAGCTCTCATTTCTTCATGATGTTACAATGTAGAGAAGAGATTTAAGGAAGGGTTAAACATTTCATATGAAAATTATTAGTCTTCCTATCTGAAAATTCAGGGGTCATGTTTAGCATCATACATATAGTGATTAACATTAATAGTACGGTATTTCTAAACACTTAATTACCTCTGTCCATCTCACATCTTATTTTCACATCTTACATTTCCACATCTTTTAAAAGCATGGTGAATTCTAATGACAATCTAAAATATACATCTGTTACCTGCACAGTTTCCCAACAAAGTATGGTCTTCTTCTCCTGATTTGCCCAATGTGTGGTCCCAATCAGCATCATCTTGTCCACTTTGCACCATCCCACAGATATTGATGTATTCAAAGGAGCACTGGTCCAAGAAGGTGAGGCTTGAAGCTGCCAGGAACAGAGAAACATATGTTTTGTTCATTAATATCAAAAAAGCCTTGCCCTGTTAGCTCCATTCCAGAGTGCTTACGTGCTGCACTTAAATTCATGAAATATGTTGTCAATACAACTGAAAACTACACAGACTTTCACATCTACCACTCTGTTACCACAAATAAATTATGCTTTCTGCCTAAAAGTAAGCATGTTATCTCTTTTTCCCACTCTAAGCTGGATATTTCCTTGCATGAACCACCTTGACCTCTGCATGCCAGTTCTTCCTTTCAGATATTTATCATTTTCTCTATGCCTGTTGGGACTAGGTTCTCTGTCCTGTTTCTCACTTCAGGGTGTAAATCAGAAGTAGTTCTGCTGAAGCTAGTGGAAATGTTCAGGTATATGTTAACAGTGAGTCAGTGCCATACAAAATCTGGAATGTTTACTTTCATGCTTTGCCAGTGAAGCTGGAGACATGATTAACCCAACTCATGCTTCTGAACATCACATAGGGAGAAAAAGGAACTTGAAGTACCCTGATTTCAGAAGCCCTAATTCCAGACTCTCATTGCTTGAAGATTTTATCATCAACAACAAGAGATCATCATCCATGTTACTATTACAGGTAATCTTACAGGAATGCCTGGTTGAACAAAATCTAGTTAAAAGACTCTTGATTCACTCAAATGGTGTTCTGTAATGAAATGGGGATCCAGCCACCATGGAGCTCACTGCTGCATAAGAACTATAGCTTCTTTTAGCACTGTGAAAGGATCCCAAGAGGGAAGCGTTCTTGCTCCTCTCCTGCGACTCCATCCACGTTACCATGAATCTTGAGAAAGGGTTTTCAAGTCTATGTGTGAGAAGATGAACTTACTGCAGTTGTACATGCGATTCAGCTTCAGTAAATCGATCCTGCTCAAGTCCAACCTCTGCCCAATAATCTCATTAAACTCAGGGATTTTTGTTGTAATGGAAGGGACGTTGCTGTTGATGTTGAAAGAATATGGTCCATAGTGCAGGACTGACTCATAATCATACGGGGTATTGAGATCATCAAGGAAACTATCATTATGTTTGTCAAAGGCATATGCAAAACCTAGACAAAAACATATGCACATGATTAGGCAAGACCAGAAATAAAACTTACCACATAACACCATTTCAAAATGCTTTACCCATGGCTAAATAATGGTCCAGTTGTCAGCAACTGGGCAGTCATTCTCAACCAGAGACATCTGAAATCAGCATTTTGAAAAAGGGGCATGCATCTACAGATAATTCTCGAGCGTGTCAGACCTGCATTGTACCTTCAATAATTTCGTCCCACCATATCTGAACATAGTCGTCACGATCCGTCCGGGATTGCTCGTGGTAGAATCCCAAGGCATGCAGGAGCTCGTGTTCCACTATAGCTTTATAGTCACACCTCTCCCCTATAGACACTGTCTGGCCCCTCTGAAGATCCCCCACATAAGACCAGCACCTGTAAGGCAAAGACTGAGATACTGCACCCATTTTGCATAATACCTTCTATGATTTGTTATTTATATTGAATAGAGCTGTTAATCTACATGGGATTTCTAGACAGTAGCTGTTGGCCCCAGCTTCCTGATGGTCCCACCCAGCGAGCAGGGAGATCCCCCACCTAGCTTCAGACTCTCACAGTGCTGGCAGCTGCTGCTGAGTTAGCTTCCCTGGCACCTTTACAGTCCCTGGCTGGTTACAGGCATTTGGGATGGAAGCTGTCACACCTATTTTAGACTTCTATTTTAGGCGAGAGGGTTTATGGCTTGGAACAGTCGCCTCCTCCCCACCGAGTGCCAAGACAGCCTGCAGTGAGCTGCAGAGCATGGGAGGTGCTGGGTTCAACATTTGGTCAGGTATTCCCCAAGTTCAGCCTCTGAAAGCAAGGAGACATCCCCTGCCCCTGCCCCTAACAAACACCAGGAGAAACTTGATTGTTTTCCTGAAAGAATTCCAAGAAAGGGTTCACTTCAGTAGCCAGGATGTGAATGGAAATAAAACATTATTATAAAATAATATATTAAATATATTATATATATCATCATATATAATATATTTAATACATATAATTTATATGTTATTTATATATATTTGTATTGTATATATACATATATATTATCAAATATTATATTAAGAGAACATCAAATGCAGATAGCACCTTTGCCTGGTTAGTCTGTCTGCATTGGCTTCAGCATACCACAAATAAGCTCTGGGCCAGAAATGTGATTCAGGCATTTATGCCCTGTGTAATAGCCAGAATGAAAGGAAAGTCTCCTCATTGGAAGAAAATCAGATGGTACGAGCCAGGCCGTTAATACAAAATTACCCGTCCAGCTTCTCAAATTTCAAGTAAGTCTGCTCCCCTTCATAGGGCTTGAAATCAATGCAGGACTTCAGCCTGAACATGTCAAACGCCTGCAGGACAACACCTTTAGCATTCAGATCTGAAAGATACAGCAGAGGATAACAGTAGCAGTTGTATTTCTTTTATAAAAGTATAAATAGCTATAATTCTAAATACGAACAAGCATGCATTAGAAATCTGAACATGTATAAAAATATCTACTTGGATCAAAGAGTAGGAGGCTGTTAGCAGAATTTCCCAACTAGCATAATTTTGTAAGATCCCATAGGGAAAGATAATAATTTTATTATCTTTATTAGATAAACTGAGAGAGCTGGAAAACAAACAAAAAATATGCAGGCTTTTGGACATCTGAGGCATTGCTTGGGTTTTTCTAGGTACTTCTAGTGCACATCATTGTATTATATGAGCTGTCAAGTATTGTAAACTTCAAACTTGGGACTGGCAAACACAGGAGAGATCCATAGGATTTTAACACTGTTTTACTATTAGTTTTATACCTGAAGTGTTCAAACTTTTAAATAATACCTAAAATTAGATGAAAACAAAAAGGGAAAATTCTCTGAATGTTTTCATTTATAAAATATCTGCATTTCCCTGGACTGGGACTGGAGCCGGAACTGCTACAAAGAGATAAGGCATGAAGGGTACAGTAGATCAAGACACGTGTCCTTGTGATTAGGATTTCCTGACTCCATTATCTGGAGACCCCAGCCAGATACACCGATATTAGTTAAATTGGCTGCTCAATTAGCATCAGGCTCATTACTGGGACTGTCACATCAACAACAAGATGTGCTGGAGCAGAGTTACATCGCTCAGTCTGGCCAAGAGTAACATAACATTAACAGGGCATAATTCAGTAGCAAATGAAACAAAAGCAGCCCAGAGAGCTGTACAAAACCAGAGTACACATAATGGAAGCCATACAACCCTACCACAATAAAAAGACTTATTACCCAGGCTGTCAGCCAGGATGTAGGGGATGGGAAATTTCCATCTGTAGGAGTTGTTTCTTAGAGCATTCCTCTCCAGCTGTGGATGATATTAACACACTGGTGTTAACATTTCAGCCCAGCTCACACTCTTACTGGAGTTAGTTTAGATCAGCAATGCTTACCGGTAAGATAATATCACCCTCAAAAAGCTGCCTTCCTGTTTCTGAAAGGAGATAAACAGGCATTTTGGTTAAAGCAACATATCAAGAACTGCAGTATGTTGTGTTCTTTTTCAAAGACCACACAATTTATAATGAAACTGCCTCATCAGCCAACCCATCTCTCCATAAACAGCAACCACCCAGAAACAGGCAACAAATAACCAACACCACCCTACAGCATGCTCATCCGCCACCTGCAACAAGGAAGGATTTGGGGTTGAATGAAGATTTCCATAACCATTCCAAAACACCTGCCCAGAGGAGAATTTTACTCTTTTTCCTAGGCTTGTATCCTGAACCCATCATGGACTTCAGAGCATTGCGGATATTTAGGTAAAATGGGATTTGTCCAGAAGTTAGGCATCTAGTAACCTGATGACTTGGCTAACCTAGGCTAATCATCTGGGATCCGTATACGATCACAAGAGAAAGACAAGGATTCTGGAGAGGGAAGGGGTTCATCCTCGTTTTTCAAAGCCCTGAGCCTGAACTAAGCTCAGATTCAAGCAATTCAATCTAAATGCCTACCCTCGGTATGTGCTATATGTCTCAGACCCACATGCAGCCATCCACATGCAGGAGACTTCTTCACCTTCTAGAGGTGCCACAGGAGATGGATTTGAACTGGCAACAGGCACCTGTGATTTAAGCAGCTTATCCACATCTGCAGCTTATCCACATCTTCCATGCTTTAAAAGCACAGCACTTGTGACTCTTATTTTATACTTTGGGTTTTTTTTAAGGTGACAAATTCCCTGTCCAAATATGAGTCCAAGCTCCAGCCACTGTATGGTCCTGTGAGTGCAAAATTAATTAATGTCCTTGTATAGGCACAATCCCAGCACAGACAGTTCATCCATAATCTATTCCTATAACCTTTTGTTATAGAAATTTCTATAACCTTTCGTTACAGAAATATCCTATTTTCTTCACATATATACAGAGAGAAGAAAAAAATAATTTAGTCCCATGTGCTCTGTTCTACCAGAAAAAACAGAGGAAAGCTACCCCAGAGCATAAAGCAGATAACAGTCCATGGCAGGAAATGAAAACTCTCTCAAGGTAACAGCGCTGAAGCTCTGTGGCAGGGCTGAAGGTACTTTAGATTTGTATCTTGGCCATTGGTGGTGTGAAACCCAGCAGCTCACTTAGGATGAATGCACATCAACAAAACAGAGGTCGAATTAGAAACACTGCCAAGGTTTTTCTGGCGGTGGTATTGCAGAAGAGTGCAGGGGTTGATGCAGGTTTGGTCCAGCACAGAGGCTGCTGAGCCTTGCCTAAGAGCTGTTGAGTGTATTTCCATATTTGAGAGTAAGGTATTGGGATTCCTACAATATTAGCCTTATGGAAATTTCCCAGCCTTAGTGATATGGTTTAGTGGAGGACTGGTTAGTGTTAGGTCAGAGGTTGGACTAGGTGATCTTGGAGGTCTCTTCCAACCTAGATGATTCAGTGATTTCCTTTCCTACACCAACCTTTGTGGACATTTCTGTCCTCTGCCCCATGCCCTGCTCCTGCCTTGCCAGCATCTCCTACTGCTACCAGACTATACAAGGGAGGTCTCCCCCCTTTTCCCCAAAAAGAGCTGGGGGTCATCCCACACATTTTTAACTGCCCTGCAGTACTTACACCTTGGGGACTTTGCTCACATAGGAGGGGTCTTTCAGACCCCTGACATCTGCCAGACTTGTAGTCACCCAAAGGCTAGCTCAGATCTCTGTAAAAATTCAGCACTCTGCTTACTTACTCTCCTGACTTACCTGAGTTTATTTCTGGGATGTCCTTTCTAAGCTGCCCTCCATCAACAACATACACTGTCAAAAATAAAATAAAATAAAATAAAATAAAATAAAATAAAATAAATCCCTAAATTAGTCACTAAACGACATGAATTGGTGTAAATCCCCACTTGATGACTGATAATTTTCCACTAACATAAAAATATTGTTTCCTTACCTCTGTCATCAACAGAGTTTTGGATCTGAAACATAGAAAGCACAGTTTCAAAATCACAGACAAATGCAGTGAAATCTCACCCTGATCACGAGCCAGAAAACAGAGGAGAAGATGGGAATACCGTAAAGGCAAAGGAGCAGGTAGCCAGTGCTGCGAAACAACATAACCTCCAGGGATCCATTTCAGAAGACAATCTGGTGCTGCCGGCCCAAGTAGATATAGTGTCCTGGGGGGGATTAACCTTCAGAAGAGCTGATAAGCCATCAGAAAAGATGAACTTTGAAAGGAAGAGCAGATTTTTATCTTATATATAGCCATAAGCAAAAACTGATAAGCAATCTGCTTCCCCATAACAATCACACTTAGCACATTAACCCTTGTGGCATTCAGGAGATACCAAACTCGTTAGTATTTCTGTTACTTCTTCAGAGACAATCTCACTTTTTTTATTTTGCTGCTTTAAAAACTATCCTGGCCCCATCCTGACATGAGGCCAACAAAGCAGCTGAGAATGGAAGCAACCCTAAGAGGCTTAGGGTTTGCAGTTTGAACGAATAATTCACTTTAACAAAATGGTTTGGTTGTTGGTGGTTTTTTTGTTGGTGTTTTGTTTTGTTTTGTTTTTATTCCTGAAGAAATCTTGATGTAAACACTTACATAAACACACTTAGCTTTAATATATGTGATTTTGGGGGTAAAACATCATCTTTAATCAAAAAAAAAAAAAAAAAAGAACTGTTATTTCATAGAGTTCAAAAAAAGCATCCTAGTTTCGGTTTCCTCAGGAGACCTCAAAGGCTTTCTCCATCAGGACAGGGGTGCCACGAGGGGTCCTGGCTTGGTCTCACTGTCATGCCTACGAAGCTAACTGCTCCCAGTGCTTTGCACGGGGATCACACCCAGGGATCCCACCAAGTGCTTTCCTTGTGGACACAAGCCACACAGGCCAGGGTGAAGCAGGACAGGATATGGATTTACTCATGCAAAAACATTTCAACAGGTTAATACTGTAGCTAGGTCTTAGTGGAAAAAAATAAATGCAAATAGGAGCATGTGATAGCAATACTCGGTGAGCGGTACTTGCATTTATATCCCCCAGAAGACAGGGGGTTCGTTCTGAAAAGAGAATATGCTGCTGGTTTATTCCTTGTAGCTATAGAGCTATTTGATGAGAATTAATTTTTTTTCTACTTCCATCACAGCATCAGTCGTGATCTGGTTGGTTCCTGTGGTCTCAACGGGGAAGGCTCTTTACAAACCCAAAGTCTTTAGGAAGTCTGTGCTCTACAGAGCTTTACACAACTTGCTTGTTAGAAAAGACAATAAAGGAAAGGAAAGCTAAACAAAACAGGTTTTCAGGACCTAAAGCTATCTGGAAGCTTGAGAGAAGTTCAGGGTGAAGGGAGCACAGCATGGTCCCATCCCCTAAACTCCTCACATCACTCCCAGAGACTCTACTTGGCATATGGGTTTTAGAACCTGGCACAGGGACTCATCCTTATATTTACCCCTTTCCTTCATATGCTTTAGTTTAAGCTTTTAAAAGAAATTCCTCCTTATCCTGAACTGCCTTCCCCCTACCACGTGCCTGTTCACTTATGATTAAAGCACTACCACAGGGAAAATGAAGATGGGTTTTGGTGTCCTCTGAGAGTAAAATGTCAGAACAGCACCTACACTGTTTGTGTCACCAAACACAGCTCCTCTGGGCCAAAATTCAAATATTGAAGACTGGCACTGATCCCAGGTAAGGGCATATCTGCCACATTTACATTCCTGCACCTGCGCTGCTCTGAAGAGGAGAAGCACCAAGATCTTCCCCCCCCCCACCAGCTCTATAAAACTCCTCTTCCCAGACGTGATGTTCAGGGAACAGCATCTGCCAATCTATGCTGAGCATCGGCACAGCAGCCTGCGTGTCCACCACCGGTCGTGCAGGATGGAAGCTTCCCACTCGCAGCAGCAATTTAATGCCACTTCATATGATATCGCCATTACGCTCGTCATCACACTTCAGGCTTTTGCTGGCATGTGGATCAATGCTTTCATTGTGGCTGTGTCTTGCCTTACCTGGGTTAAAAAGAAAAGCTTTAACTCCAGTGAGAAGATCTTGCTGTTTCTGGGATGTTCCAGGTTTTGGTTTTTGTGTGTGACATGGGCATATACCATTACTTCCATGATTTTTCACTGGCAAACTTATATCAGCGGGGTGACCCCAATATTTTCACCTCTTCTGTGTATTTCAAATACTTCCAACTTGTGGTCTTCTGCCTGCCTGTATGTTTTTTATTGTGTAAAAATTGCAAACTTCAGACACATCTTCTTCATCTACCTGAAAGTAAAAATTGACAGGATTGTGCCATGGCTGCTCTTGGGTTCAGTGGTTTTGTCCCTGGTCATGTGTGGCCCCATCATAAACATTACTGATGAACTAAGGGGTAGCAACCTCAGTTCCAGCTCCCCTGGATATGCCACAAAAGTGAATGAGCAAATAAGCAAACAATATTCCCCTGTTTTGTATATCTGCAGCTTTGGCTTTTCCATAGCATTCATGATAGTCATCTTCTCTGCCTTTCTCCTCCTCTTTTCTCTCTGGAGACACAAGCACAAGATGCAGACAAGCTCAGCAAAGGACCTCAGCATGGATGCCCACATCAAAGCCATGAAATCTGTGCTATACTTCTTCATCATCTACGGCATCAACTTCATATGTTTGATCTTGACAATGATTTATCCCAGTTGGGAGAAAAATCCTATGACGTTTCTCTATTTAGTACTCCAGTATGCTTTTCCCTCTGTTCATTCCCTTATCCTGATTTTCAGCAGCCCCAAACTGGAAAAGATAGTGCTGAGGATTCTGCCCTGTGTGAAGCGCAAGCTTTGCATGTGCTAGGAAGTATAATAAGGGATGGAGCCCGGGAAAAATTCTGACTTTTTCTGCTTAAAACAAAGTCACTCCATCTTTAGTGCAGTTCTCCTGCCAGTGCAGGTGATGTCGATGTGCTATCTTCTCTAACTAAATTAAAAACATTTCATTGAAATTCTTTGAATTAAATCATTGTGAGTTAAATACATTATTATTATCTTTTCATTTAACTAATTCTTTGAGTTAAATTACTGTCAATAAAATAATTTAGATCTGGTCTATGGACTAGCTGTGAAAGGGGGACAACAGTATAAGAGCACTGTGTACCTAAAAATGCTTCTGCATTTGCTGACTGAAACTACTTAGCTAAACTTATTCATACCCATTTTGTTTTCCAAATCATTTCTGCTGTGGCTGTGCACTCTGTAATATTATCAGTTGTACAATTATCATGCACTGTGTGAATATGCAAATCACTCTTATTTATCAGAGCTGCAAGGGAAAAACCGTGGCAGCGAGAGGTGAGGAGCGATGAGAGAGGAGCAGCCCTGGGATCCCAGGTCAGTGCAGAAGGAGGGCAGCAGGTGCTCCAGGCATGGGGCAGAAGTTCCCCTGCAGCCTGTAGAGGACCACCTAGGAGCAGATCTCCACGCTGTGGCCCCTGGAGAGCTGGCAGGAGGAAGAAGTGGCAGAGACAATCTGTTATGGGCTCAGTACAACTGTCATGCCCCATCCCCTCTGCCACTTTGAGGGGAGTTTTAGGAAGATTTGGGACTGAAGGAGTGAAGTTGAGCCTGGGAAAAAGGACAATGTGGGGGAAGATGTTTTAGTTTTGTCCATTTCTCACTATCCTGTTCTATTTTTAATAAATGAAGCTAATTTTCCAAAGGTCTTTTTTTTTTTTTTTTTTTTTTTTTTGTCTTTGATGGCGATTGGTAAGCCATCTCCCTGCCGTTATCTCCATCCATGAGCTTTTCCATCTCATTTTCTTCCCCCAGCCTGTTGAGAAGGGGGAGTGGGAGAGCAGCTGAGGGGGGTCTACCAGCCAGTGAAGGCCATCCCATCACAGCAGATTAGCTCAATGTGGAAGAGGTGCAGTACAAGCAGAATGTTTTTCATGATGTTACACCTCAGGTGTTACACCTCAGGTGTAACATTATCCCAGCCGGACATGGATTCGCTCAATAAGTTATCAACCTTTCCCTCTGCTGTATTTGCTAGGACAATATTTCATGTATTCCTACTAGCAGAAAGCTTTTCAAACATAAAGGAGGTGTGGTCATCCTGCAGGACAGCAGTGTGAAGGGCTCACTGATTTCTACGTGCTATTAGAAATCGGTCCAGAGGAGTAGCTCTCCTCAGGGAGCATAAGTGGTCTCTGGACAATAATAGGAAAACCTGAAATGAAGGACAAAAGCTTGGTTTGTAAGCTCTTTATTTTAAGGGTCGCTTCTCCTATGGACAAAGAATATTCCCATCCCTCTTCCTCTCCACCCCCACAACAAGGAAAGGAGAAGACATTAATAAAAAAGGGTTTTTTTGTTTGTTTGTTTTATTTTGTTTTACCAACCATTAGCTTTCACTCTTTTCTGGCTTCTCCTGCACTAGTAAAGCGAAAAATTACATTGATCTTGTTCTGCTATATAGAAAGAAAGGGCCTGAGGCGTCTGATCAAAATTAGCCAGTCAGAGCACATGGCCTTTAGCTGTTTGCCTTTAGCTGCAATTGCACTTCTCAAATCAGATGCCAAACCCCACTGAGTCCAGTTCCACAACAGGACACACTGCACCACCCACATCCCCCAAGACAGGTGGGCCTTAAATGTCATCTGGACACATCTCCCCGCCTAAAGGCCTTTCAAGGACAGGCACCGCCATGTCTCCCTTCTTTCCCTCATGTTGCTCACAAAGTTGATCCTTTAACATGAAGTCCCAATCACTTTCACAAAAAGGCCACAGAGTGTCCTTACTCCCTACAACCCATGTCACGTCGCCCCTCAAAACCTTGCATACCACAAGGCTCAGCAGGCAAAAATAACGTCTTTCACACAGAGAGAAATGCAGCTCCAGCAAACCACGCTGAAGATACCTTCTTCCATCTCTGAAAGTCCCAAAAGGGGAGGGAAAGCAGACACACAGGTGTCAGAGGTCAGTAGGAATGGCTGCCCAGTGCTAGCATGAAAAACTGCCTTGGATCAAATTCCAAATATTTTTTTTCCCAATCGAGAAGTGAAACAATTCAAAAATGCTTTTACCACTTTTTGATAAGAGTAAAAGATGAAAGAGGGATAGCTCAGGAGTGGTTCCATGGATTCCTGTGAACACAGATATAAAAATGTCTGGGGGCACTGCTAAAAATAAGGCAGTGCTCTAACTGTCTTGGCAGTCACAAATGGCTGAAACCACTAACGAGGGAGCACGTATTCCCTCCTGCTGGACTGAGGATGGCAGATACAGGCTGTTAAGCTCATGTCCACTAAGAGGTCAACATCAGAGTTCCATGAAAACAGAAGAAGCAACTATGTCCCATTGCCAAAGAAAAGAGACAGGCACCACCAGAGCCTACGAGCCCCTAAAAGAACCTCAGCCTGACTCAGGACCAGAAGCAAACAAGCAAAGGCCATGGACATCACTACAGTGAGCAGAACCACAGTCTCAGGTGCTTCCCTCAGTCAAATAGGAACAAAAAGATTTCCCTCCCAGGCAATATGGGTAGATGCTGCCATTTCTATGACTATAGCTCTATTTCAGTGAATTACAGTATTAGTCTATCATACACCTTCTGTAGTTTTCTGGTATTTGAGGTCTGATACATATAGACACTCACATGGACAGAAGCTCTCATTCCTACTCTCTAAGAACATCTTGATGCAAACACTTAGAGAAACACTTAGATTTTATATATGTGATTTTAGGGGTATAACATCATCTTTAATTTAAAAAGTTGTGCTATTTTTGTAATCAACAGAACATTGGCCATAGAGTTCAAACAAAGCATGTTGTTTGGGTTTCCTCAGGAGACTTCAAGGCTTTGTCCCTCAGGTCAGAGGTGCCACGAGGGGTCCTGGCTTGGTCCCACTGTCGTGCCTATGAAGCAAACTGCTCCCAGTGCTTTGCGTGGGGATCCCACCAAGTGCTTTCCCTGTGGACACAAGCCACACAGGCCAGGGTGAAGCAGGACAGGATATGGATTTACTCATGCAAAGACATTTCAACAGGTTAATACTGTAGCTAGGTCTTAGTGGAAAAAAATAAAATGCAAATAGGAGCATGTGATAGCAATACTCGGTGAGCGGTACTTGCATTTATATCCCCCAGAAGACAGGGGGTTCGTTCTGGTGATTTATTCCTTGTAGCTATAGAGCTATTTGTTGAGAATTAACTTGCTTCTACTTATATTGCAGCATCAGGCACGATCTGGTTGGTTACTGTGGTCTCAACGGGGAAGGCTCTTTACAAACCCAAAGTCTTTAGGAAGTCTGTGCTCTACAGAGCTTTACACAACTTGCTTGTTAGAAAAGACAATAAAGGAAAGGAAAACAAAAACAAAACAGGTTTTCAGGACCTAAAGCTATCTGGAAGCTTGAGAGAAGTTCAGGGTGAAGGAGCACAGCATGGTCTCATCCCCTAAACTCCTCACATCACTCCCAGAGACTCTACTTGGCATATGGGTTTTAGAACCTGGCACAGGGACTCGTCCTTATGTTTTCCCCTTTCCTTCATACACTTTAATTTAAGCCTTTAAAAGAAATTTCTCCTTATCCTGAACTGCCTTCCCCCTACCACGTGCCTGTTCACTTACGATTAAAGCTCTACCACTGGGAAAATTAAGATGGGTTTCGGTACCCAATGGGAGGAAAATGTCAGAACAGCACCTACACTGTTTGTGTCACCAAACACAGCTCCTCTGGGCCAAAATTCAAATATTGAAGACTGGCACTGATCCCAGGTAAGGGCATATCTGCCACATTTACATTCCTGCACCTGCGCTGCTCTGAAGAGGAGAAGCACCAAGATCTTCCCCCCCCCCACCAGCTCTATAAAACTCCTCTTCCCAGACGTGATGTTCAGGGAACAGCATCTGCCAATCTATGCTGAGCATCGGCACAGCAGCCTGCATGTCCACCACCCGTCGTGCAGGATGGAAGCTTCCCACTCGCAGCAGCAATTTAATGCCACTTCATACGATATCACCGTTATGGTCGTCATCACACTTCAGGCTTTTGCTGGCATGTGGATCAATGCTTTCATTGTGGCTGTGTCTTGCCTTACCTGGGTTAAAAAGAAAAGCTTTAACTCCAGTGAGAAGATCTTGCTGTTTCTGGGATGTTCCAGGTTTTGGTTTTTGTGTGTGATATGGGCATATACCATTACTTCCATGATTTTTCACTGGCAAACTTTTATCAGTGGGGTGACCCCAATATTTTCACTTCTTTTGTGCTTTTCTAATTCTTCCAACTTATGGGCTTCTGCCTGCCTGTATGTTTTTTATTGTGTAAAAATAGCAAACTTCAGACACATCTTCTTCATCTACCTGAAAGTAAAAATTGACAGGATTGTGCCATGGCTGCTCTTGGCTTCAGTGGTTTTGTCCCTGGTCATGTGTGGCCCCATCATAAACATTACTGATGAACTAAGGGGTAGCAACCTCAGTTCCAGCTCCCCTGGATATGCCACAAAAGTGAATGAGGAAATGAGCAAACAATATTCTCCTGTTTTGTATATCTGCAGCTTTGGGTTTTCCATAGCATTCATGATAGTCATCTTCTCTGCCCTTCTCCTCCTCTTTTCTCTCTGGAGACACAAGTGCAAGATGCAGACAAGCTCAGCAAAGAACCTCAGCATGGACTCCCACATCAAAGCCATGAAATCTCTGCTGTCCTTCTTCATAATCTACAGCATCAACTTCACATGTTTGATCTTGACAATGATTTATACCAGTCGGGAGAAAAATCCTATGACGTTTCTCCTTTTAGTACTCCAGTATGCTTTTCCCTCTGTTCATTCCCTTATCCTGATTTTCAGCAGCCCCAAACTGGAAAAGATAGTGCTGAGGATTCTGCCCTGTGTGAAGCGCAAGCTTTGCATGTGCTAGGAGCCCGGGAAAAATTCTGACTTTTTCTGCTTAAAACCACGTCACTCAATCTTTAATGCAGTTCTCCAGCCAGTGCAGGTGATTTCGATGTGCTATCTTCTCTATCTAAATTAAGAACATTTCATTAAAATTCTTTGAATTAAATCATTGTGAGTTAAATAAATTATTATTATGTTCTCATTTAACTAATTCTTTGAGTTAAATTACTGTCAATAAAATAATTTAGATCTGGTCTATGGACTAGCTGTGAAAGGGGGACAACAGTATAAGAGTACTGTGTACCTAAAAATGCTTCTGCATTTGCTGACTGAAACTACTTAGCTAAACTTATTCATACCCACTTTGTTTTACAAATTATTTCTGCTGTGGCTGTGCACTCTGTAATACTATCAGTTGTACAATTATCATGCACTGTGTGAATATGCAAATCACTCTTATTTATCAGAGCTGTGAGGGAAAAACCGTGGCAGCGAGAGGTGAGGAGCGATGAGAGAGGAGCAGCCCTGGACCCCAGGTCAGTTCAGCAGGAGGGCAGGAGGTGCTCCAGGCATGGGGCAGAAGTTCCCCTCCAGCATGTAGAGGACCACATAGGAGCAGATCTCCACGCTGTGGCCCCTGGAGGGCTGGCAGGAGGAAGAAGTGGCAGAGACAATCTGTCATGGGCTCAGTACAACTGTCATGCCCCATCCCCTCTGCCACTTTGAGGGGAGTTTTAGGAAGATTTGGGACTGAAGGAGTGAAGTTGAGCCTGGGAAAAAGGACAATGTGGGGGAAGATGTTTTAGTTTTGTCCATTTCTCACTATCCTGTTCTATTTTTAATAAATGAAGCTAATTTTCCCAAGATATATTTTTTTTTTTTTTTTTTTTCTCCTTGATGGCGATTGGTAAGCCATCTCCCTGCCGTTATCTCCATCCATGAGCTTTTCCATCTCATTTTCTTCCCCCAGCCTGTTGAGTAGGGGGAGTGGGAGAGCAGCTGAGGGGGGTCTACCAGCCAGTGAAGGCCATCCCATCACAGCAGATTAGCTCAATGTGGAAGAGGTGCAGCACAAGCAGAATGTTTTTTGTGATGTTACACCTCAGGTGTTACACCTCAGGTGTAACATTATATCAGCCGGACATGGATTTACTCAGTAAGTTATCAAGCTTTCCCTCTGCTGTATTTGCTAGGACAACCTTTGTTGCACTCCTACTAGCAGAAAGCTTTTCAAACATCTTCCTCAGATAAAGGAGGTGTGGTCATCCTGCAGGACAGCAGTGTGAAGGGCTCACTGATTTCTACGTGCTCTCTATTAGAAATCGGTCCAGAGGAGTAGCTCTCCTCAGGGAGCACGAGTGGTCTCAGGACAATAATATGAAAACCTGAAATGAAGGACAAAGAGCTTGGTTTGTAAGCTCTTTATTTTAAGGGTTGCTTCTCCTATGGGCAAAGAAAATTCCCTTCCCTCTTCCTCTCCACCCCCACAACAAGGAAAGGAAAAGACATTAATAAGAAAGGGTTTTTTTGTTTGTTTGTTTTATTTTGTTTTACCAACCATTAGCTTTCACTCTTTTCTGGCTTCTCCTGCACTAGTAAAGCGAAAAATTACATTGATCTTGTTCTGCTACGAAGAAAGGGAGGGCCCGAGGCATCTGATCAAAATTAGCCAGTCAGAGCACATGGCCTTTAGCTGTTTGCCTTTAGCTGCAATTGCACTTCTCAAATCAGATGCCAAACCCCACTGAGTCCAGTTCCACAACAGGACACACTGCACCACCCACATCCCCCAAGACAGGTGGGCCTTAAATGTCATCTGGACACATCTCCCCGCCTAAAGGCCTTTCAAGGACAGGCACCGCCATGTCTCCCTACTTTCCCTCATGTTGCTCACAAAGTTGATCCTTTAACATGAAGTCCCAATCACTTTCACAAAAAGGCCACAGAGTAGCCTACAACCCATGTCACGTCACCCCTCAAAAGCTTGCATACCACAAGGCTCAGCAGGCAAAAATAACGTCTTTCACACAAAGAGAAATGCCGCTCCAGCAAACCACACTGAAGATACCTTCTTCCATCTCTGAAAGTCTCAAAAGGGGAGGGAAAGCAGACACACAGGTGTCAGAGGTCAGTAGGAATGGCTGCCCAGTGCTAGCATGAAAAACTGCCTTGGATCAAATTCCAAATATTTTTTTCCCAATCAAGAAGTGAAACAATTCAAAAATGCTTTTACCACTTTTTGATTAGAGTAAGGGATGAAAGAGAGATAGCTCAGGAGTGGTTCCATGGATTCCTGTGAACACAGATATAAAAATGTCTGGGGGCACTGCTAAAAATAAGGCAGTGCTCTAACTGTCTTGGCAGTCACAAATGGCTGAAACCACTAACGAAGGAGCACGTATTCCCTCCTGCTGGACTAAGGATGGTAGATATAGGCTGTTAAGCTCATGTCCACTAAAAGGTCAACACCAGAGTTCCCTGCAACCAGAAGAAGCAACTATGTCCCACTGCCAAAGAAAAGAGACAGGCACCACCAGAGCCTACGAGCCCCTAAAAGAACCTCAGCCTGACTCAGGACCAGAAGCAAACAAGCAAAGGGCATGGACATCACTACAGTGAGCAGAACCACAGTCTCAGGTGCTTCCCTCAGTCAAATAGGAACAAAAAGATTTCCCTCCCAGGCAATATGGGTAGATGCTGCCATTTCTATGACTATAGCTCTATTTCAGTGAATTACAGTATTAGTCTATCATACACCTTCTGTAGTTTTCTGGTATTTGAGGTCTGATACATATAGACACACACATGGACAGAAGCTCTCATTCCTACTCCCTGAGAACATCTTGATGCAAACGCTTAGAGAAACAGTTAGATTTATATATGTGATTTTAGGGGTAAAACATCATCTTTAAATTAAAAAAAAAAATGTGTTAACTTTGTAATCAACAGAACATTGGCCATAGAGTTCAAACAAAGCATCCTAGTTTGGGTTTCCTCAGGAGACCTCAAAGCTTTGTCCCTCAGGACAGGGGTGCCACGAGGGGTCCTGGCTTGGTCCCACTGTCGTGCCTATGAAGCTAACTGCTCCCAGTGCTTTGCGTGGGGATCCCACCAAGTGCTTTCCCTGTGGACACAAGCCACACAGGCCAGGGTGAAGCAGGACAGGATATGGATTTACTCATGCAAAAACATTTCAACAGGTTAATACCGTAGCTAGGTCTTAGTGGAAAAAAAAAATGCAAATAGAAGCATGTGATAGCAATATTCGGTGAGTGGTACTTGCATTTATATCCCCCAGAAGACAGGGGGTTCGTTCTGGTGATTTATTCCTTGTAGCTATAGAGCTATTTGTTGAGAATTAACTTGCTTCTACTTATATTGCAGCATCAGGCACGATCTGGTTGGTTACTGTGGTCTCAACGGGGAAGGCTCTTTACAAACCCAAAGTCTTTAGGAAGTCTGTGCTCTACAGAGCTTTACACAACTTGCTTGTTAGAAAAGACAATAAAGGAAAGGAAAACAAAAACAAAACAGGTTTTCAGGACCTAAAGCTATCTGGAAGCTTGAGAGAAGTTCAGGGTGAAGGAGCACAGCATGGTCCCATCCCCTAAACTCCTCACATCACTCCCAGAGACTCTACTTGGCATATGGGTTTTGGACCCTAGCACAGGGACTCATGCTTATGTTTGCCCCTTTCCTTCATACACTTTAATTTAAGCCTTTAAAAGAAATTCCTCCTTATCCTGAACTGCCTTCCCCCTACCACGTGCCTGTTCACTTATGATTAAAGCTCTACCACGGGGAAAATGAAGATGGGTTTCGGTGCCCTCCGAGAGTAAAATGTCAAAGCAGCATATTTGCTGTTTGTGTCACCAAACACAGCTCCTCTGGGCCAAAATTCAAATATTGAAGACTGGTACTGATGCCAGGTAAGGCAATATCTGCCACATTTACATTCCTGCACCTGCGCTGCTCTAAAAAGGAGCAGCACCGAGATCGGCCCCCCACCACCAGCTCTATAAAACTCCTCTTCCCAGACGTGATGTTCAGGGAACAGCATCTGCCATCCTATGCTGAGCATCGGCACAGCAGCCTGCGTGTCCACCACCTGTCGTGCAGGATGGAAGCTTCCCACTCGCAGCAGCAATTTAACGCTACTTCATACGATATCACCGTTATGCTCGTCATCACACTTCAGGCTTTTGCTGGCATGTGGATCAATGCTTTCATTGTGGCTGTGTCTTGCCTTACCTGGGTTAAAAAGAAAAGCTTTAACTCCAGTGAGAAGATCTTGCTGTTTCTGGGATGTTCCAGGTTTTGGTTTTTGTGTGTGATATGGGCATATACCATTACTTCCATGATTTTTCACTGGCAAACTTTTATCAGTGGGGTGACCCCAATATTTTCACTTCTTTTGTGCTTTTCTAATTCTTCCAACTTGTGGGCTTCTGCCTGCCTGTATGTTTTTTATTGTGTAAAAATTGCAAACTTCAGACACATCTTCTTCATCTACCTGAAAGTAAAAATTGACAGGATTGTGCCATGGCTGCTCTTGGCTTCAGTGGTTTTGTCCCTGGTCATGTGTGGCCCCATCATAAACATTACTGATGAACTAAGGGGTAGCAACCTCAGTTCCAGCTCCCCTGGATATGCCACAAAAGTGAATGAGGAAATGAGCAAACAATATTCCCCTGTTTTGTATATCTGCAGCTTTGGCTTTTCCATAGCATTCATGATAGTCATCTTCTCTGCCCTTCTCCTCCTCTTTTCTCTCTGGAGACACAAGCACAAGATGCAGACAAGCTCAGCAAAGAACCTCAGCATGGACTCCCACATCAAAGCCATGAAATCTCTGCTGTCCTTCTTCATCATCTACGGCATCAACTTCACATGTTTGATCTTGACAATGATTTATACCAGCCGGGAGAAAAATCCTATGACGTTTCTCCTTTTAGTACTCCAGTATGCTTTTCCCTCTGTTCATTCCCTTATCCTGATTTTCAGCAGCCCCAAACTGGAAAAGATAGTGCTGAGGATTCTGCCCTGTGTGAAGCGCAAGCTTTGCATATGCTAGGAAGTGTAATAAGGGATGGAGCCCGGGAAAAATTCTGACTTTTTCTGCTTAAAACAAAGTCACTCCATCTTTAGTGCAGTTCTCCTGCCAGTGCAGGTGATGTCGATGTGCTAACTTCTCTAACTAAATTAAGTACATTTAATTAAAATTCTTTGAATTAAATCATTGTGAGTTAAATAAATTATTGTTGTCTTTTCATTTAACTAATTCTTTGAGTTAAATTACTGTCAATAAAATAATTTAGATCTGGTCTATGGACTAGCTGTGAAAGGGGGACAACAGTATAAGAGCACTGTGTACCTAAAAATGCTTCTGCATTTGCTGACTGAAACTACTTAGCTAAACTTATTCATACCCATTTTGTTTTACAAATTATTTCTGCTGTGGCTGTGCACTCTGTAATATTATCAGTTGTACAATTATCATGCACTGTGTGAATATGCAAATCACTCTTATTTATCAGAGCTGCAAGGGAAAAACCGTGGCAGCGAGAGGTGAGGAGCGATGAGAGAGGAGCAGCCCTGGGACCCCAGGTCAGTGCAGCAGGAGGGCAGCAGGTGCTCCAGGCATGGGGCAGAAGTTCCCCTGCAGCCTGTAGAGGACCACCTAGGAGCAGATCTCCACGCTGTGGCCCCTGGAGGGCTGGCAGGAGGAAGAAGTGGCAGAGACGATCTGTCATGGGCTCAGTACAACTGTCATGCCCCATCCCCTCTGCCACTTTGAGGGGAGTTTTAGGAAGATTTGGGACTGAAGGAGTGAAGTTGAGCCTGGGAAAAAGGGCAATGTGGGGGAAGATGTTTTAGTTTTGTCCATTTCTCACTATCCTGTTCTATTTTTAATAAATGAAGCTAATTTTCCAAAGGTCTTTTTTTTTTTTTTTTTTTTTTTTTTTTTTTTGTCTTTGATGGCGATTGGTAAGCCATCTCCCTGCCGTTATCTCCATCCATGAGCTTTTCCATCTCATTTTCTTCCCCCAGCCTGTTGAGAAGGGGGAGTGGGAGAGCAGCTGAGGGGGGTCTACCAGCCAGTGAAGGCCATCCCATCACAGCAGATTAGCTCAATGTGGAAGAGGTGCAGCACAAGCAGAATGTTTTTTGTGATGTTACACTTCAGGTGTTACACCTCAGGTGTAACATTATATCAGCCGGACAAGGATTTACTCAGTAAGTTATCAAGCTTTCCCTCTGCTGTATTTGCCAGGACAACCTTTCATGCATTCCTACTGGCAGAAAGCTTTTCAAACATCTTCCTCAGATAAAGGAGGTGTGGTCATCCTGCAGGACAGCAGTGTGAAGGGCTCACTGATTTCTACACTCTCTCTATTAGAAATTGGTCCAGAGGAGTAGCTCTCCTCGGGGAACACAAGTTTTCTCAGGACAATGATATGAAAATCTGAAATGAAGGACAAAAAGCTTGGTTTGTAAGCTCTTTATTTTAAGGGTTGCTTCTCCTATGGGCAAAGAACATTCCCTTCCCTCTTCCCGTCCACCCCCACAACAAGGAAAGGAGAAGACATTAAAAGAAAGGGTTTTTTTGTTTGTTTGTTTGTTTTATTTTGTTTTACCAACCATTAGCTTTCACTCTTTTCTGGCTTCTCCTGCACTAGTAAAGCGAAAAATTACATTGATCTTGTTCTGCTACAAAGAAAGAGAGGGCCTGAGGCATCTGATCAAAATTAGCCAGTCGGAGCACATGGCCTTTAGCTGTTTGCCTTTAGCTGCAATTGCACTTCTCAGATCAGATGCCAAACCCCACTGAGTCCACTTCCACAACAGGACACACTGCACCACCCACATCCCCCAAGACAGGTGGGCCTTAAATGTCATCTGGACACATCTCCCCGCCTAAAGGCCTTTCAAGGACAGGCACCGCCATGCCTCCCTTCTTTCCCTCATGTTGCTCACAAAGTTGATCCTTTAACATGAAGTCCCAATCGCTTTCACAAAAAGGCCACAGAGTAGCCTACAACCCATGTCACGTCACCCCTCAAAAGCTTGCATACCACAAGGCTCAGCAGGCAAAAATAACGTCTTTCACACAAAGAGAAATGCAGCTCCAGCAAACCACACTGAAGATACCTTCTTCCATCTCTGAAAGTCTCAAAAAGGGAGGGAAAGCAGACACACAGGTGTCAGAGGTCAGTAGGAATGGCTGCCCAGTGCTAGCATGAAAAACTGCCTTGGATCAAATTCCAAATATTTTTTTCCCAATCGAGAAGTGAAACAATTTAAAAATGCTTTTACCACTTTTTGATTAGAGTAAAAGATGAAAGAGGGATAGCTCAGGAGTGGTTCCATGGATTCCTGTGAACACAGATATAAAAATGGCTGGGGGCACTGCTAAAAATAAGGCAGTGCTCTAACTGTCTTGGCAGTCACAAATGGCTGAAACCAAAAGCGAGGGAGCACGTATTCCCTCCTGCTGGACTAAGGATGGCAGATATAGGCTGTTAAGCTCATGTCCACTAAAAGGTCAACATCAGAGTTCCATGAAAACAGAAGAACCAACTATGTCCCATTGCCAAAGAAAAGAGAGAGGCACCACCAGAGCCTACGAGCCCCTAAAAGAACCTCAGCCTGACTCAGGACCAGAAGCAAACAAGCAAAGGCCATGGACATCACTATAGTGAGCAGAACCACAGTCTCAGGTGCTTCCCTCAGTCAAATAGGAACAAAAAGATTTCCCTCCCAGGCAATATGGGTAGATGCTGCCATTTCTATGACTATAGCTCTATTTCAGTGAATTACAGTATTAGTCTATCATACACCTTCTGTAGTTTTCTGGTATTTGAGGTCTGATACATATAGACACACACATGGACAGAACCTCTCATTCATGCTTCCTAATAACATCGTGATGCAAACACTTAGATAACACTTAGATTTATACATGTGATTTTAGGGGTAAAACATCATCTTTAAATTAAAAAAAAAAATGTGTTAACTTTGTAATCAACAGAACATTGGCCATAGAGTTCAAACAAAGCATCCTAGTTTGGGTTTCCTCAGGAGACCTCAAGGCTTTGTCCCTCACGTCAGAGGTGCCACGAGGGGTCCTGGCTTGGTCCCACTGACGTGCCTATGAAGCAAACTGCTCCCAGTGCTTTGTGTGGGGATCCCACCCAGTGCTTTCCCTGTGGACACAAGCCACACAGGCCAGGGTGAAGCAGGACAGGATATGGATTTACTCATGCAAAAACATTTCAACAGGTTAATACTGTAGCTAGGTCTTAGTGGAAAAAAAAAATGCAAATAGAAGCATGTGATAGCAATACTCGGTGAGCGGTACTTGCATTTATATCCCCCAGAAGACAGGGGCTTCATTCTGAAAAGACCAGATGCTGGTGGTTTATTCCTTGTGGCTATAGAGCTATTTGATGAGAATTAATTTATTTTCTACTTCCATCACAGCATCAGCCATGATCTGGTTGGTTACTGTGGTCTCAATGGGAAAGGCTCTTTACAAACCCAAAGTCTTTAGGAAGTCTGTGCTCTACAGAGCTTTACACAACTTGCTTGTTAGAAAAGAAAATAAAGGAAAGGAAAACAAAACAAACAAAACAGGTTTTCAGGACCTAAAGCTATCTGGAAGCTTGAGAGAAGTTCAGGGTGAAGGGAGCACAGCATGGTCCCATCCCCTAAACTCCTCACATCACCACATCACTCCCAGAGACTCTACTTGGCATATGGGTTTTGGACCCTGGCAAAGGGACTCATGCTTATGTTTGCCCCTTTCCTTCATACGCTTTAGTTTAAGCCTTTAAAAGAAATTCCTCCTTATCCTGAACTGCCTTCCCCCTACCACGCGCCTGTTCACTTATGATTAAAGCTCTACCACGGGGAAAATGAAGATGGTTTTCAGTGCCCTCTGAGAGTAAAATGTCAAAGCAGCATATTTGCTGTTTGTGTCACCAAACACAGCTCCTCTGGGCCAAAATTCAAATATTGAAGACTGGTACTGATGCCAGGTAAGGCAATATCTGCCACATTTACATTCCTGCACCTGCGCTGCTCTGAAGAGGAGCAGCACCGAGATCGGCCCCCCACCACCAGCTCTATAAAACTCCTCTTCCCAGACGTGATGCTCAGGGAACAGCATCTGCCATCCTATGCTGAGCATCGGCACAGCAGCCTGCGTGTCCACCACCCGTCGTGCAGGATGGAAGCTTCCCACTCGCAGCAGCAATTTAATGCTACTTCATACGATATCACTGTTATGGTCGTCATCACACTTCAGGCTTTTGCTGGCATGTGGATCAATGCTTTCATTGTGGCTGTGTCTTGCCTTACCTGGGTTAAAAAGAAAAGCTTTAACTCCAGTGAGAAGATCTTGCTGTTTCTGGGATGTTCCAGGTTTTGGTTTTTGTGTGTGACATGGGCATATACCATTACTTCAACGCTTTTTCACTGGCAATTTTATATCCGCAGGGTACCCCGAATATTTGCACCTCTTCTCTGTATTTCAAATTCTTCCAACTTGTGGTTTTCGACATGCCTGTATGTTTTTTATTGTATAAAAATCGCAAATTTCAGATATATCTTCTTCATCTACCTGAAAGTAAAAATTGACAGGATTGTGCCATGGCTGCTCTTGGGTTCAGTGGTTTTGTCCCTGGTCATGTGTAGCCCTGTTTTTGACATTACCAATCAAGTGAGCTGTTGCAACCTCAATTTCACCTCCCTAGAATACTCCAGAAAACTGAATGAGAAAATAAACAAACAATACTCCTCTATTTTTTACATTTGCGGCTTTGGCTTTTCCATAGCATTCATGATAGTCATCTTCTCTGCCCTTCTCCTCCTCTTTTCTCTCTGGAGACACAAGTGCAAGATGCAGACAAGCTCAGCAAAGGACCTCAGCATGGATGCCCACATCAAAGCCATGAAATCTCTGCTGTCCTTCTTCATCATCTACGGCATCAACTTCACATGTTTGATCTTGACAATGATTTATCCCAGTCGGGAGAAAAATCCTATGACGTTTCTCCTTTTAGTACTCCAGTATGCTTTTCCCTCTGTTCATTCCCTTATCCTGATTTTCAGCAGCCCCAAACTGGAAAAGATAGTGCTGAGGATTCTGCCCTGTGTGAAGCGCAAGCTTTGCATGTGCTAGGAAGTATAATAAGGGATGGAGCCCGGGAAAAATTCTGAATTTTTCCAGGAAAAATTCTAACTTTTTCTTCTCGAAACCAAGTCATTCAATCTTTAATGCAATTCTCTAGCCAGTACAGGTGATGTTGATGTGCTATCTTCTCTATCTAAATTACGAACATTTCATTAAAATTCTTTGAATTAAATCATTGTGAGTTATATAAATTATTGTTATCATTTCATTTAACTAATTCTTTGAGTTAAATTACTGTCAATAAAATAATTTAGATCTGGTCTATGGACTAGCTGTGAAAGGGGGACAACAGTATAAGAGCACTGTGTACCTAAAAATTCTTCTGTGTTTGCTGACCGAAACTACTTAGCTAAACTTATTCATACCCATTTTGTTTTCCAAATCATTTCTGCTGTGGCTGTGCATATATACACACAGATGGACAGAAAGTCTCCTACCTACTCCCTAAGACCAACAAAATTTACAGTACATTATAAAGATGCATTGTTGTGGCCAGCTGCTTCTGTTGTTCTTCCATATTTCACCCTGCATCTTAGGTCTGCCAGTGTTTTTGCTCTGCACTGCAAGTTCTCAGTGGTACCAAACAGGCAGGGCACACTACCGCTTCCCCATTTTCTTTCGATTCTTCTTTTGAACAGAGGTTGTGTAGGTCTGGCGAGCACATGATGAGTTTCTCTCAAACTCTTCTTTCTTGAGTTCCCAGTCTTCATCTCTCTGGTCCACAGGAATTCCTTTCATTGCAGCCGTCCTGCGGTAGTTTCTGCTCTCCACCTCTGCTCTGGGGAAGAAAGCAAGAGTTTATCTTCAAAAACAGAGCATGGCATAGTCACAACACCGCTCATGAGCAGCCCATCCAAAGTAACAGATCATGGTCAAAATGCTATTGCCAGCAATCCATGAGAAAACCCTCAGGGTCACCCCAAATCCAACATCACCCCAAGTGACCAAGTGAAGGTATTCATATGAATTGAGGTGGAAAACCTTTGGTAAGGATCTATGGTGAAATTCATGCTGTAATCATTGGAAACCCAATTGTAGCACAATTTTTACACAACTAATGCAAAGCTCTCAGATTGATCTTGCAAATTTTTGTGCAGTTAAAAAGACTTAAGCACATTGTAATGCAATTGCACACAGCAATTTAATTCACAACAACCACAACATTTCATTTTTTTTAAAGTTTTGTACTGCTCATTCATGAGTACTAGGAATTTTTTGTGCCAAAACATCAGATCTGAAGACCACTGGAATCTCGGAGAATTTGGACACAGTTATTCTTTCCAGATGATCTTTTAACCTCACAAATGCTTTATGCAATTCAGTCCTAAAATTTTCCTAAAATTTGCATTCAAAAACAGATTTAAACTTAATAATTCGTACCTATATCTGTTTTTAAAATAATAACTAACATCAAGTAATGTCATAGAACTAAGGTTCAAATTTTGCATGGAAAAACATCAAGTTATGTGAAAGATACCACTTTCTCTAGCCCTGTATCTCCATGTACAGATAATTCACAACTTTATTCTGGTTGCTGGGGGTCTCACACATGTCTTTCAAGTTATTGTCATGATTTCAAGTGTGTGAAATATGGATTTCAGATATTGAGCCATCATCCACCCAAGCCCTGGTATTTCCAGCTCAGCAGTGAGCTGGAAATTGTCCTCTGTAATTTTGTCCTCCGTAAAAAGTTCTATATATATATATATATATATATACACGTGGTGTCACTATATAGTGTCATTCAGTGTCAGACTGGAAGCCTGAAAATAAGCATACTTCACTGTGGTTTTTCCTACAGTCTTGAAACAGCAGCTGATTTCATTACACTTTCCATTGCAAACAAGCAAAGCAAATTTAAAAACACTTTAATCAAGACCAAAATGAATATGTTTATCTGGGCAGAAAAAATATGGAATATGGTTGTTTATTATTATTATTATTATTATTATTATTATTATTATTATTGTCTTAGTTATGGTTTTGTTAATCACAGCTTTCAAATATTTTTCCTATTAAGTGTTAACTTTATAATCTTGATATGTGCCAAGGCACTGACACAGTCAATTACCTTAGGAAAAAGTGACCCCAGCTATAAAACAGACAGCTACTTTCTGCATGTTGTAGGCAGTGAGGAATTTTAGAAGAATTAATATGCCTATCCTTCATGTCCAAAGGTAAAACATCTGTCTTTCAGAAGTAGCAAAAGAAGCAAATCAGACCTTTTCTTTCTCACGGTAGTGGTTAGCATGAGACAGTACTGAAAAAAACAGGAGCCGCTGTGGTGGGCTGACCTTGGGCAGCTGCCAGACACCCACCCAGATGCTCTTTTACACCTCTTCCTTTCCATGGGCTGCAGCGTGGAGATCTGCTCCATGTGGGACCCATGGGCTGCAGGGGGACAGCCTGCTCCACCAGGGGCCTCTCCACAGGCCGCAGGGGAACTGCTGCGTGCCTGGAGCAGCTGACACACTGACAGCTCACCCAGTTGTAAGAACAGAGTAGTTCTGGTGGCAGGGACCTACTCATACCATCAAGTCCGGATTCCTGACTGCTTCAAGGCTGCCCAAAAGTTACAGCCTGTTACTGAGGGCGTTGTCCAAATGCCTGTTGAGCACTGACAGCCATGGGGCATCAACCACCTCTGTAGGAAGCCTATTCCAGTCCTTGACCACCCTCACAGCAATTTTTTTTTCCTAAATCCCAGACAGGGAGCAGAGGCCAGCACCGCCCTCTCCATTCCCCTCCCAGGAGGCTGCAGAGAGTGCTGAGGCCGCCTCTCAGCCTCCTCTGCTCCAGGCTGGACAACCCAAGTGTCCTCAGCCTTCCAGCCCTTGCATGCCTTCCAGCCCTTACACCAACTTAATTGCCCTCCTCTGGATGCATTCAAGGACATTAATATCCTTTTTATCTTGTGAAGCCCAGAACTGCATGCAATAGTCAAGGTGAGGCCACAGCGAATGCTAAATATAGCTGTAAGGCCTGTCTTGTTGCTGGCAAACCATTTTGTCTCCCTGCAGAGTTCTGGTTTTGTAACGGTTTATGGAGCCCTGATGAAAACATTGCCAAATATCTGCAAAAACTTGTTTTCCAGCAACACCCTCACATCTGTGCTGGGGTGTCCCAGCTGAGAGCACAGAGCCAAGCCAGCAGCTCTGCACAGAGATGCGCTGCACAGTGTGGGTTTAGTACATATGTTTGTGCATATATATATATATGTATATACATATATATATGTGCCCTGGGTTCATCTAGAGGGAGCCTCTGCTGCAGTTTGGACTCTTGGCTCTTTGCAGGCAGGATGGCAGCAGGCATGGGCCACAGGTCTCAGAGCTGCCCTGGCGCTGCTCCCAGCAGCTCCGAAAGCATCCGAGGTAAAACCGTGGTGCAGAAAAAAAAAAATAAAAATGATGCAAATTGTTATTCAGAGGCAGCTCTGCATTTGAAGGCTGGTTTCAATGCTTTGCATGTCCATGCAAACCTCAGTGAGTGGTGCAGATACTCTGTAGCAGAACATTCCTAATATTTATGTGTTAATAATATTAATGTGTTGATACGTGTAATATTTACATGTGGATGCAAACAGCCCTCAGCACGGAGCAGTCACTCTGGCCATATGTGGAAGCGTGTGTTCATGCAGCCAGCAGCACCACGGGCAGGCACACAGCGTGCAAGGTGTATGGTGGTGGTGGCAGGAAGGCTGAAATGGGATCTAGGAAGGATTTGGGTGCTCCTCTCACTGTTTAGATATGCACTCCAGCCCTGCATTTCACACAGCCCCTCAGGCTGTTATTCTATAAATTGCCTTTTCTCTCTTCATACTATTTTGCATGACAGGCAAATATTCAAGACTGACAGTGCTGCTGTGTAACAAAATATTCCTCACATTTACATCCCAATGCAGCCAACAGGGTGACCAGATCTACTCTGCGCTGCGCAGCATTAGCATGCACACACAAACTTCATTTTGTGTCTGCAGCCACAGCAGTACTGCCCAGCTCCTGCCAGAGCCTCAGCGATCCCTGAAGATGGACATAACTGCTGGACCTTCTGCACATCTGCAGAAGCAGAAGGTAATTTAAAAATACCAGTAATTCCTTCTAGGTAACTCTATCTGCTGATGTGAGGAGGTGAAACTGTTGCATGAGGGTGAACACCTTCCACCTGTGGCTGTAAATTACAGAGGCTTGGGCTTATAAAAATGGCTCCCAAACTCCACGTGACAAAGTTTTGGCTGCTCTGGCTGCCTGCAGGCTGCATTGTTCCTGTGCAGTGACCATACATTGCAAACTGTCCAAGGCACGGGCATTCAAAGAGTCTTTCTGTTTTGTAAGTTGTCACAGCCCTTAATCCTGCACCTCTCTCAGGTCTCTATGGTGGGAGATTTGCAGCCCTGGCTTGGTCTGGATTCCTGAGTCCCCCAAGGGACAGACACTGGGTCCATCTCACTTCACTGCACTGTCACCTCCTCTGTGTTACTGGTCACCGAACCTTTTGCAGCTTTGCTATAGCTCAGCACAATGAGCACTCACACCCTTTCCTCCTGCGAGCCATGCTTCTGCCTGAGCTGTGCATGGCCACAGGGTGACTCAGACCAGCACATGGCTCTGAACAGCAACTATTCACTTTTTCTGCCCTAAATTAGTCATTCACCTCAGAAAACCAGTCACAAGCTACATGAGTCGCCTTAGGCTGTCGCCTCTCTGTTCATCTGGTGCCTCAGACTGGATGTCAATCATCCCATCAGTCTTCCTGTCAATCATCCCATCAATCATCCTGTCAATCATCCCATCAATCTTCCTGCCAATCATCCCATCAACCTTCCTGTCAATCATTCTTCCAGCTGCCTCCACCGCCCATCCCAGCTGTGCAGACACCTCCGCCTGCCATGGGCATTGTGTGATCCAGGCAACCTCCCCCTTGCTGTCACCTCACCACCGTGGCTCTCAGGCACAGTCAAGTGTGGAGCAAATTCCACACCCTTGGCAGAACTCGATAAACAGGAGTTTGTGCTGAGATTCATGTAAACACGACAGCAGCTGAACTGGGAGTCAGCTGCTATAAATGATTCATCGAGGGGTACAAGTCTGCAGACTTTTCACTCTCTATGGAAGTATTTACTTGTTCGGATACAGAAACTATGCAAGCAAAGACCCAAGGACAGTATGAAGAGAAAATCCTCATTAAGATGAAAGCATTAGGATGGATGTGGGATGGGCAGGTAACATGCAAAGGTTACATCCACTTCCACAATAACCAGAGCTTAGAAACATGAATGTGTGGCTCTCCTAGAAAGTTGTTCGCGTGATAGTTTGGCACAGTTTGGGTGTCTGTACCTATGGGAGGACACTGATGCTGTGTCAAGAAAAAAGGGGGGAAGGAGCACTTCAGCAGGAACCAATAAGCTGCAGAAGTACAGCAGAAAGCTAACAGGTTTATGGGGTTCATGAAAAGCGATGCTTGGAGGAGGCTGGCCACCACAGACGTTTGCACAGCCTCATTTTGAACGTGGCAGCACCTGTGCTGAATTCCTCGATGATGGGGATGTGGCAACAGGCAGCCATGAGCCTGGGAGGTGGAGAGGAAGGGAGAGGCCTTGCAGAAAGGACAGTCAGCACCAAATCTGCACCATGGACCTGTACATGTAGTTTGTACGTGGTCTTCAAGGCAAGCTGGAGACATTGGGTTGGATATGTGCATACAGGTGATTTGTATGGTGCCAAAGCAGTCTTGAGAACATCACAACAGTAAGAAAGATTCCAGTTACAAACTACAGCAGGGCTGCAAAATCAGAGAAAACTTCAGGGAAGGAAAAAGCCTTTGGGTGCTCTCAGCCTTGGGACTCTCAGGGAAACACAAATGAGATCCTCTTGCCCAGGGGCCTTTGTTGGGCATGTTGTGGAGTCCTGTAAAAGGCTCTGAAATCAAACTTATCAGAAAAACAAATAAACAATCAAACAAATAGACTTGTTCCAATAACTGAAGTTACGTATGCCAAGACTGAGACTTGAGATCTATTTCAATACAGATTCACAATTCACACAGATGAAAATAATTTTGAGCCAGAGCTGAAAAACACAGCTGGTTATTTGGAACTATTAAAAGCTTAATACTAATTGCATATGATGGCACAATGATAACTGTAAGGGTTAAGACAATCAGGACTTTTCCAGAATTGGAAAGCAATACCTTCTAATAATGTGGCCACCTTACTAACAGATCAAATGGTAAAATTTTCAATAGTTATGTTAAAAAAAATAAATAAATGTATGTCAGTTTTTACCACAAATCCTGTACATACACTATCATTACCTGCTAAAGGGCTGTTCTTACACAATTTAACCTGTGCAGTCAGCGGTCACCACTCTAAGAGGTTAATACTCATGGCATTGTTAGTTCTTCCTTTCACTTCATTGCGCAATAATCGCTTTGTAACATCCTTACAAAAGCAATGATGTCATGAAGTTGTAATGTTTTTGAAAACATAGCAAGGCAAACCATGGAAGGCAGTGCAATAAGAAAAGACTTCCCAATGGCTTCCCTGTGACAAAGAACTGCATTTGCTTATCTCTTATGCATTCAGAGAATCACAGGAGGGGTTGGAAAAGCCCTCCAAGATCACGTGCTCAAACCATCCCCCTACCACCAATGTCACCCGTATGTCCCTAAGCACCACGTCCAACCTCTCCTTGAACACCCCCAGGGATGGTGACTCCACCACCTCCCTGGGGAACACATCCCAATGCCTGACTGCTCTTTCTGAGCAGAAATGTCTCCTCATTTCCAACCTAATTCTCAACGGCTTTGACAGCTTTAGGCAGAAAGATTAATAATGCACTCACAATTCATTCTGGCCCTATATATACCACTCAGCATCATCGTCGCCTACTGTGCTGGAAACAGGTATTGCTACTCACATTTCTAAGAACTTGACACACTCCTTGTGTCCGTAGATTTCTGCGAGCCTCCTGGGAGTGTCGCCGAAGAGGTCTTCTGCATCCATGGTCGCGTGCAGGGAGTGAAGGGTGCGAAGCACACCCAGTCTGCCCGACTCGGCCGCAAAGTGAGCCGGGGTCCAGCCCGCGTCGCTCCTCAGACAGGGGCGGGCACCATGAGCCATGAGGAGCTTAATCATCTCCGATTGCCCTGGTGTGGAGAGAAAAATAGGGAGAAAAGCACCAAAATTAGGCCTTATAGGCCTTTTAGGCTGAAGGAGACAGTCACCGCACACTTGGTCATGATTCCCTCCAGTCATGTTTTACCTGTGGCCTAGCCATTTTATTTATCAAATAAGGAATACTCTTTGGAAAATGCTGATTTCTTTTTTTTTTTTTTTTCCAAAGTAAATAGCTTCCAGAAGTATTTTACAACAAGAACAGCAACAAAATCAAAAAGCTTTCTGCTGCTTTCTGAGCAGTACATCCCAAGTGCAGGCTTGGCAGTGCTAGGCTAGTGGTCTTAGAGGTCTTTTCCAACTTAAATGATTCTGTAACTGCAAGTAGTCCTTGACTAATTGTCCGTTTACTGTTCCATTTTTTCATTTTGTTTTTTAGCTCAAGCCAAAATAAAATTTAACATTAAAAAGTTGTGAGCAGCTTTAATTAAAAAAAAAATAATAAAATAAAGTTGATATGAGATAGAGAAATAACTTGTTTTATTTCAGCTTCACATTTTTCTAACTTGTGGAGTTGCCCAAAGAAGCAAAAATAAAGTTATTTCTACCCTGCTGAGCATGGCCTTTGCTGAGTGAGGCTGTTCCCAGTGGCATGCAGGCCACGCCAGCATCTCGCCATCATCCCACAGTAACCCACCGCTGTGTACATGTGGTTTTCCCTGGGGAAACAGATTTCACTGCTTGTTGTTTTGGATTTATCAGAGGGCAATCATAGCATTTATAGGTCCTCATTCCCTGATTTCACGTTTTTACAGTTACAATTTACAGTTTACATTTTTACAGTTTGCATTTTAGCCACATTAACATTTTACATATAACGGTTATGTAAATTTATATATAGATGAAACAGCTTTATGAAAATCACTTGGTTCCCTATTTTGTTGCCCAAATGAGAAATCCGTCAGGTGTAAAACTTGGTACCAGCTGTAAAGCAGCAAACTGATTTCTGAGCAAAGGCAGGCATCAGGATCCGAGATCCCAGCATATACCAAACACTGAAGCACACGTTTTACGCTGTGTACAATTATACAGCATCTGTATTGTTGTGTTCACATTTTTCCAGGGCTGTAAAGGGATATTTGACTTTAACAGCTCTGGTCTTGTGTTAAAGATCTCTTTGATGATAATCCCATAAATTATCTTGTGGGCACAGATCCTGTTCGAAATTATATTGTCTTTCTCATTTTCCTCATTAAGGACAAAGGGATCTGATACAAACCATGATGATCGCCACTATTAATTGCTATCAGAGCAAGACAACTGCAGTTGTGATGCCTTTTAGGACATGGTTTGCAGAGGTGACAGAGCAGGGACATGCTTACCCTTCGCAGCAGCCCAGTGCAGCGGGGTCCTGTCGTTCCAGTCCACATCCTTGTGATTTGGGTCGCAGCGCCCCTTCCTCAAAATCTCTTTCACCAGGTCGTAGTCACCCACAGCCACGGCTTCGTGGAGCTCCGTCATGCTGCACACGTCAGAAAAAATCTGGGAAAGGGCAACGTCGTTTAGTGTATGCTTGTTGATGCATCAGCTCCTCTCATCTTCAAGCAGTTTTACTGGGTCAGGCAGTGTCTGGATTGAAAACAAGACGTGCACTGTAAGAAGCCAGGATTTATCCAGAAAAAAAAAGGAAAGAGAAATGAGAGAAGAAGAAGAAAAAAAAAGTATTTATTATCAAACCAGCGATCAGAGATTGATGGTGACGTTTAGTTTACAGTTGTGGAAATCTGGAGCAAAGTGCAGCCCTTTTTTTCAAGACTCGTAGGCAAAACCACGTTGCACTTCTCAAAAATGTTGCTAAAGAGCTGCCAGCTCAGGCCAAACATTGCCATCGATCTGTTGTCACGCACTTACCCTGGAAACTGGCTCCTCCCTTGCCAGTACTGCAGATTCGTTATTGGCAGCATTTTAGTGTAAGGAAAGAAATGTCTGGCGAGTATCTTCTGTGCTCTTTTGTGCAGAAAGCCTAGCTGTGCCATGTCGTTTAAAATGCTCATCTCCATAGCTGTGATTTGCACTTTCCAGTCCCATAAAACAGACCCAAATCAAGACATGCAAGCAGATCTTCAACCCCTACAAGGCTGTGGGCTTCAATGAAAAGGGGAGACCTTTTCTAGCTGCTTTGCTAGCGGGGCACTGAAGCAGCTTGCAAAGAGCCCTACAGGACCCCATCACCCTGTGGATGGAACTACTGCGATATTTTCTCCAGTCTGGCCAAATCAACAGGGACAAAGCTTTTATATTCCTGTACCAACGCCTAGTCTTGAGCCAATTAGTCCAGTCCCCTTTAGAAACTGGAAGAGTTTTAGGACTTTATCCAGTTTCTGCTTCACTGACATTTGCTTCATGGAGCACCATTCACAGCTTGCAGCTTGGAAGAGTGTAATTTCCATGCTGAGCACATTATAAAGGACTAGCATCAGGGCTTGCAGAGGCTGATGCAGGGAGGTTCCCAACCCTAGGGGCTGCATCCTGGGAGCCAGAGGAACATGAGGAGGATGCATACACGACAGGGGAACATGTGAACACAATAAAAAATATAATGGGTTTTGGTGCTCCTCAGTGGGTCACAGAAGTAATATTGGCTCGAACATACCTGTTACTTCAATCATTCATTCACCTCCTCCTCCTTGCCTCTCACTTGCCTTGAAAAACCTGTTCCATGATTAATCAGAGGTCTTCACATTAGTCCTCCGACACCTCTCATTGGCATTAAACCTACACTGAAAATGATACTGAAGCGTGCATCCAGCTCTTCACTGAAATGAGCATTGGACAAAAATACAGATTAAAAAAAAATAAATCATATTTTCACATGCTTTTCTTGTTCCTTTCCAAGGAAATGCCAACAAAATTCAGCAAAATGTAACTGGAACTTCAAGAACCCATTTTTGGTAACTTTAGATCGTGCTGACACACACATGAAGGGTGAGGAACTAAACCCAATGAGCCCACCCCACGAGCTCAGCAGCTCTCCAAAGACAGTCTGTGGGTTCAGTTTCCTAAGCAATTCAGGCCAGTCTGAATCTTACCTACCCTCCATGCCTCCCTTTGCTAGCCTTGAGGCTCACGGGGCCGTTGATCCCTCTGAAAGCTGACCTTTTGTTATCAGTGCTGGGTTGAGGGTTAGTGCCCAGCCTGCAGACCACACTCATGTACATGTGCCAAGCTGGCACCATCAAGGAGGCAAACACTGGGGCTGTGCAAAGAGGGATGGGGGCAGATCTGCTCTATTAGTAGGGACCTGAGCTCAAAATCCACCTTAAACCACTCCAGCAGTGGCACCCAGAAGTGGGACTCGCTTCCTCAGGGCGTTGCTGTCCCCTTTTTATGTGATTTTAAGATCAGATTCAGATTTTTGTGCAGAGACCTTGAGCCAAACGGAGCTGCTCTGACCTTCCCCATCCTCCCTGGGATGTCACGGGGGGTCCAGGTGCTGAGCCCAGCCCCTGTTAAAACTCATCCCTGACACACAGAGGGGACACCCAGCATCCGAACAACAGCGGGGTCCTCTTGCGAGTGCAGCATTTTATTTTTTGGGAGGGGTTGGAGGTGGGATGGCTCCGTGTGGGAGACTCGTTGGCAAGGCCTGGGGAAAGGTCTCTCCCAGAAAGATTGTCCTGTCTGGAAAGTAAGGCAAAGTTTGGTCCCTCCCCTTCGGGAAGAGCCCAGCAGCCGCTCTGCTTGCTATGGGAGACGTCCTCCTGTGGGATCAGCCGCCGGTTGCTGCGCTCTGCAGGGCCACAGGCAGCCAAAGGGGCCTTCGAGCAACTTCCCAAGCCATTGAGCTCCTTCCCGAGCCAGGGACAGGAGCAGGGGGTGGCCAGGACACCGCACAGCAGGTACGGGGAGCGCCAGGCACTGGGGAAGGGGGAAAAAAAGAGCCTGGGAAGAGCGCAGGGAGGAGCGACGGGGCTGGCAGGGGGATTTTAAGGAGTTCTGCGCCGGACGAGGGCTCGCAATCTTCCTCTTATCTGACCCCAAATCCCCGCATGTCCCTGCAGGATGACGGGAAGGGGAGAGGGTGCGTGCCCTGCTGGTATTTAGGGTGTCGGGGTGGGGAGCAGCAGCGCCGGGCTGCAGCAGGGGAAGCACAGACCAGAGGGAAAGGGAAAAAAAAAAAAAACAAACATATCACAACGATTAAACGCTGCTCAGGGCTTCCGGGGAGTGAAGATAGCATTAAGATAGTCAAAACTGAGACAAGAAACTGAGCTCTCTGCTCCACGTGTGCCCCGCTTGCGGCAGGGTTTGGGGTAGATGTCCTCCAGAGGTCCTCCCTGACCCAAGTTCTTCGGGGAGCTCGGTGCCAGCACCCTCCTCACCCCATCACCTGTCTGCAACGCCGAGCACTAGTCCCGGCTCCTACCAGGGCTGTCAGAGAGAGGAGAGGGTGTTTTGGGGCCGTGGCTTCCCCCGGTGGGCTTTGACCCTGCAGGTGACTACGTGGTGGCCTCAGGCATTAGTCACAGCAGGACCTGCCCCGTAACCAGCCTGGACCTTACCCGGTGACACAGCACCTCCAGCCTGCACCAGGGCTGAGCCTGGGGGAAGCATTTTGGGGCAGAAACCAAGGGTAAAACACAGCCTGGGCTTACACCAACTGACTGGGGATGTGGTTGAGAGCAGCCAGCAGCTGTCGGGATGTCCTGCTGGGGACATCACCCTCCGACAGACAGCTCTCGGAGTGGGCTGGAGATGCTCAGATCTCCAACTCTAGCATCATTGTTGGTGTCCCCCCCATATTTGAAGCAAAGAAAAATTGTTTCAATGACTAAAGCAGGACATTTAAGAGCAGGGGACGGAACTGGGGCCCTCAGGCTAACGCTGTCACACTGCTTTGGGGTGTTTTTTCCCTAACCCCAGTGATGTTCACACTTCAGTTTAGTTTTTGGGGCAGGAATTAAGAGGCAGCCCCATCCCTCAGTGATGAGCATTGCTTTTTGGTTCAATCTCCGGTGCCAAATCAGCAGGGGACGTACTTAAACCTCAGTGATGCCTCTAGCCAGTGGGGAATAGCTCGTGTGGCACTTGGCTATGGGGTTACACCATCCTTCCCCAGCCTGCAGTGCTGTCAGTGCTCACAGCAATGAGATATCACTGGTTACTGAGGGGGACAGCATCTGAGTTAACCACCCCAAGATGCCCGATTTGGGAGGCCACTTCCACATGCAGTATTGCCTGTTTACTGGAAAAAGCAGCTGAGATCAGCACATTTGCCTTTCAATGACAGCCTGGGCCATTTAGTCCCCACGACACAAAAGGCAGCAGTGTGAAGGACTCCTTCTTCCACGCTCCCACACATTCCCCGGACTCCGTTCCTCCTCCCCTTGGCAGCCTCCAAATAGAGAATGGGCCAAGGCCAGGGAAAAAAAAAAAAAAAAAGCAGAAAACAAAAGCCCAAACCCAGCCGCACTGGCAAAACCTCCCTGACCACTGCCTGCTCTGGTACGTTTCCTAAAAGGACCACAAGAATTTCATTTCTGAGGCCGTGAGAAGAGAGCAGGAGCGTTGGATGCTCCTGCCCCACAGAACGGCTTTGTAGGGGCCAATTAGCCCCGAGGCAATTAGTCACCATTTAACAACTTACGCTCTGGTGTCTTGTTTCTCTCCAGCTGCAGAAGACACCGGAGGCTCACGAGCAAACAGCGTGAAGCTGTTTTGGGGCCAAAGGAGGAGGGTGGTGAGGAAACACTGCTGAGGTTACCAGCCAACCGCCTCCGTGCTTGAGACCCGAGATTTCCTTTTCTGCTCTTCCTTCGAGGGGCGGACGAAGCAGCTCAGCATCTGAGCAGCAAAACGCCCTGCTCAGGCTCCTGGACAGCAGCACACATCACTGCGCCCTTACTGAAACTCTCCTGGAAGAGTAAAGCGGAGCAGACCCCGTTTTCACCTGCACCCGGCTTGGGCACCTCCTGAATTCCCCAAGACACGATGACTTCGCTCTGGACGAGGGCTGGCAAGGTGTTCACGAAAAGTCGTGCTTCAGGTAAGGAACATCTTCTCCATTTGTATTTTTTACCTGAGCAAAGCATGGGCCCCGAGAAAGACTTCTTAAGGTGTTACAGGTAACATTTTAGCAAAATAAATGTCAGCATAAATTGGAGTTGTTCATATAATCAAGTGTAGTGGGGAAGTCCCATCTCTTTTAGGGAGATGTGCCCCTTTCTTAACACTTATTATTGCTCTAAAAGCTAACACAGTTTAATACATCTGGCTTATGACACTGGTACAGATATTAACATTTAGTTTGCTTTCTAAAAAACCCTCATAAGAGGGTTTCTGGTCCTGCCTCAGCCCCCAAACACCACTCACCCAACGCCCCTCCTGCTCAGGGCAGCCACACCAGCGCGGCCAGACCCAGAGCAGCCACAGCTCCCACAGCTCCGCTCCTGTTCTGCTGCCAAATCCTTTGGTCGCCCAGGGTAACAGCAAAGAAAGCACTTCTAGAAAGAGCACTTTATAATTCTGTAATAGCCTGTAGCTGGAAAAAAAAAAGTTACATAAAAGTTACATAAAAAAAATGTTCTGTAAGATGACAAGCAGGGCTCACTGGAATGTTTTAGAATTACTAGGAAGACTCAGGTAAACTCCATCATAAGTCAGCATACTGCATTTCTTCAACACCATAAACCAACTTGGTCTATTTTTGCTCTTCTGTCCTTTTTTTCAAAGGCGAATGAAGCTCCTGACAGCCCTAGAACTGCTCAGGTTTGCTTTCACCACAACCCTCCCCAGCCAGAGCCCCCACAGCCACAGGGCTCAGCCCTGCCAGTCAGGCTTCCCCTTATGACTTTACACAAAACCAACATTAGCTTTTACTTATGTATTTATTCCGTTTGGGGCTACAACTTTTAACAGTTCCAGAAATTCACTCTTCGGCCTCTTTGCTGACGGCAAACCCCCCTGAGTTGTGCTGGGTGAAAGCAGAACCTCCCAGGACGAGGCTGCTTTTGGCAAGTGGTGTCCAGGTCACCAAGCAGGGTGGCATCGGCGCTCTGTCCCCAAACAGGAGGCTTAATGAAAGCGTCCTCCTGCTGCTTGGCATCTGAGGCATTGAAATGGCAGCGCCAGGCTCGCAGAAAGCTCCCTGAGTGCGCTGTCCTTGCAGGGATGCACGGGGCCGGGTGTTTTCAGAGTGATGTCTGAGCAGTTTGTGGTGCTGTCTGCCCACGTGGCGTGGTGTTAAAGAAGGAATGTCGATGGTAAAAGCAGCTGTGCTGACAGTGAGCACGTGTCCTCCTGGGCGTGTTTTGGGGGATTTTAGGGATTTGGCGGTCGACTGTCTGCTCCTGGTGCCATCATTTCAGTGCTCTGTGGCAGTCAGCGTTCCCCCCAGAAGCCAGCAGGCCAGCAGCCACCCCCCGACCCACACATCCCTAGGCGGCCAGGTCGAAGTCGTCGCGCTCCTGGTTGTAGTCGAGGACCTTCTGGCGCAGGCGCGAGCCGTCGGCCCAGGTGATGAAGTCCTCGACGGCGCGCGGCACCAGCAGCGCCGGGTCGGTCACCACCTCGGGCCCTACCCGCACGTGGCCCTGCTCCACGAAGGTGACGGCGTGCCTCAGGTCCTGCGCCATGCGCAGCTTCAGCAGCACGCAGGGCAGGCGGCGGCGGCAGAAGGAGGCGGCCGACACCTTCTCACACAGAGCCAGCGAGCGGCGGGAGCTCAGCACCCCCAAACCAGTACAGCTTGTCCAGCAAGGCGGCGGCGCAGCGGGCTCGGAAAGCATCGCTGGACGGCCCCAAATCGCGGAGGCGCCGGGCTAAGCCCCGCACGGCCCGGGCTAAAGCTTTATAGCGAGCCCAATCCTCATCGGCGACCCAGGCGGTAGCGCCGCAGCGCCCGCACCTCGGCCACGCCGCTCGCCGCCTCCCAGCTCACCAGCGACAGCCGCCTCAGCAGCTTCTGCTCCGGGTAGCGCAGCCGCCGCACCATGGCTGCGGCACGGAAAGGGCGAAGTGGGGCGGAGACCGCGGCACCTTCCGGGGAGGAGCGGGTGGGAGGCAGCGGCGCCGGGGCTGGAGGGGTTGGGCCCGGCCCGCTTGGGCTGGGCTCGATTCGGTTCCGCGATTCGCTTGGGCTCGATTCGGTGCAGGTCGATTCGGTTCGGCGCGATCCGGCTCCGTTCGCTGCGGCTCGGCTCCTCGCGGCTCGCCGGCGCTGCCCCCGGGCAGATGGTTGGGAATTCGGTGGTTTGTGCGTGCTTTAATTGCATCCTTCTCTCCGGTTTTTAGTTGGTTCTTATTCCTAAATTAATTCTTATTTTTATTGTAAAGTCCCACCTCCAAGCTCAAATTGTATTATGTGTTTATTTAAAAGCTTTATTTTGAAATTCGTTCTTATTTTTACGTCTTATTTTTAAGCCTATTTTGAGGCTTTATTTTTAATTTTATTCTTGTTTTGAAGTCTTGTTTTTAAGCTTGATGTGAGGTCTTATTTTTAAGTTTATTCTTATTTTTATGTCTTATTTTTAAGCTTATTTTGAGGTTTATTTACATTAACATATTACTATATAATATGATTTATGTAATATAATATGATCAACATATGTAATGTCAATATAATGCTATATATGCTATTAATATCATTATTGTTATATTAACAATTTAAGCTTATTTTGAGGTTTATTTATACTAAGCTTATTTTGAAGTTTTACTTTAAGTTTATTTTGAGGTTTTATTTTAAAACTTATTCCTATTTTGATATTTTATTTCTAAGCTTATCTTGAAGTTTTATTTTGAAGTTCCATTTTTAACTTTAATTTTATTTTGAAGTTTTGTTTTGAAGTTTATTTTTATTTTGAATTTCATTCCTGATTTTGATTTTAATTTCATATTTCTATTCATTTTTATTTTATATTTACGTTCACCTTGTTTAATTTTCCAACGTTTTATGTCATTGTCCTACCCTGCGGGTGGGATGCAGCCTGGCCCCCCAGGCAGGGGCAGTGCACCCGTTGCCCCCCACAGCTGCCCCATTCCCCACCTCCTGGGTGCTGGGAGGGCCTCAGCCCCCTGCCCCAGCCGTGCAGGCCGGGCTTGTTTACAGGGAGCTGCAAAAACCCCAAACTTCCCCTCCTGCTTCCCGTACCGGGAGCAGGTCTTGGCGCAGGGAACCCGTTGACCCATGGCTTGGGCGCCCTGCTGGGCCCTGCGCTGCCACCTCTGGGTGCCCTGCGGCCTCTCCGCTGCTGGGTGTCGCTCTGCCTGGGGCCTGCCACCACCAGCACTGCCGCCACCACCATGCTGAAGTGTCAGATCAGTGTCTTGGTGTTTCGGAGCTCAGATCCTCAATAGCAGCTGTTACCAGCCTAATCCTCAGTTTGAGCAGTCCCGGTCCTTTAACACGCTGTATTTGTTTTATCTCTCAGGACATATGGTCTGCTCACGGACATCACAATGAGTACAGATGCCACAAAGGCCCCAAATTCTTCTGATTTGTGTTTTTTTTTTCTTTTTTCCTCCCCAGGCCTGTCGGCGAAGGCGCCAAAGGAAATGGGCAGCAACAGCGCTGAGAAGTTTTACAGGATCCCCGAAGGGAAGGGGCCGCACTCTGTGGGCTGCACGGACCTGATGACAGAAAACGCAGCTGAGGTAAGCGCTGGGTTCACCCTCTTTTGGATTTAAGGCTCATTGCCAGCCTCACGACTCTGGTTTTATGGGGGAATTGGGCAAAAGGTGTGAGCACAAGTGCAGGATGCATGCAGGGCACACTTGGGTGCCTCCAGGACATTAAAGGAGGGAGACACCGCGATGGGAAGGTAGGAGCAGTGAATAGCCACCTGGTGGGCTCGCTTACAAGTTTCTGTTTCAAATCCTCTTGGTTTTTGAGTATTTTTTGTGGGAAGACTGTGCATTTGCAGTACAGACTTGCTCTTTGGAACAGCTAGGTGGAATTTGTGGCCTGTTAGCAGTGGTTATTTGTAGGTTTTCCTCGGCTCTGCTGAGCTTCCGCTCTATTAGCACCCAAGAGTGATTAACTTCTCTTTGCAATCAGCCCCCGTGTTTTTCGTGGATGAGCAATCTGCCTAATGGCAATTCTCTCAGGGATAGGTAATGAACCTCTTTCCTTTCCTGGTAAACTGTCACCTGGAGAAATTCAGCAGGACTATTCTAGGATTGAATTGATGTCATTACCAGCCTGGATGGAGGCTCCGTGGTGTCCTCCTTAGTGCTCGTCGTGTCAAAGGCTGATTGAAGCTTGATGAGTAAATGGAAACAAGATTCATTAAACAAGCTTTTGGTGCACGCTGTGTATGAAACTGATAAATTTGTGCTCAGAGGAGCAGACTTGATTCCAAAGCTCATGCTCACGCTGCTCTCCCTGGCTCATGCACTTTGCCTGCAGTTTTAGACAGAATGTATTTAAATAAAGCCACAGCAGGAGCCTGGTGGTGTGTTCAAGCAGCGTCTGGCACACACCTTGTCTGCTGGGAGATGTCCTTGAAGAGACCACGTTGGTACACTGCTGTGTAGGAAAAATACTGGCAAGAGGAGGACGGGGAGCCTGTGTGGTTCCCCTGCAGACTTGGCGTACAAATGGCAAGAGGAAACCCAAGGCAGTGGTAAGAAATGGAGGCAGAGGAACACAAGTAATAAAATTGGTTAGAAAGATGGACTTTACAGGCTTGTAATCATCCTGGTGAGGAGATACTGGAGGAAGAACAGTAGTTACTGCACTCCTTTGCTGCTCTGCTGTCCAGATGCTTCGCTGATGGCAGAAGGAGCCGTTTGCTCGAGTTAGCTGGGAGCACGATGGCCACGTTGAGGCCGTGCCCCTGGCTGCCCAAACCTCATCTGCTGGGCCACACATCCAGATACTGGTCTCGGAGGAAAATCTCACCTAATCCAGTGGAAAACTGTACTTCTGGGAGGGTCGGTTACCTTTCCCCCAGTTTAGCAGGGTGAATGAGCTTGGTAGCAGCTCCATGAGACATTTGTGTGAGCATCGCTGCCAGGATGCCAGCAGTTGTACTGCTTCAAGTCATTGTGGGGACAAAATGACAGCGACATAGGACTGCCATCAAAGCTCAGCCTGCATTGAATAATAATATTCTCATGAGATTCTCCAAATTCTCTTGAGCTGTTTTTCTTGCAACTGAAGCCCTTGACATAAATGTTTTTATCTTCCCTCTTTTTCGTCATATATTAAGAAATAAAATATATATATATATATATATTTTTTTTTTTGATCCTAGGGAAGCTTCTTACGCCTGTATTACCCTTCATGCAACGCCACAGATAATGAAGAGGCACCGTGGATTCCAGATAAAGAGTACTATCAAGGACTCTCCGACTTCCTTAACATGTACCGGGTTGTAGGAGAAAGGCTTTTCCAATACTACGTTGGTGAGATTGGTTTGGGCTTTATTTCATGACAAGGGCACGAGCTCTGATGTGAGCAGCGTGTTTTTGACTGAAAACTAGTTTCTCCCAATGAGGAGCGTGTGTTTGGGAAGGGTTTGGGTGGTGAGGCTCAACGCTGGACATGACCCGCTTTTGCAGGACCACGGTCCGTGATCGCTGTATGTGGGAGTGTCTGGGTGGTGATGGGGAAGCTGCCCCTATTTCAGGATTCAAATCACAAGGGGAACTTTGCAGACATACAAAAGTCAGATAGATGCGAAATTCTGAATACAAACAGAACTTGGATGCCTGGCTGCTCCTAGAAATCTGTTCTTGCAGGGTTTAAAGGGTTGGCCTTGTGCTAGGCTCTGGACAGGAGAAATAAAACATCTTTTTGTAGAATGTGTTTGCAGAATTGTCTTCGTTTATCTTCTGCATTTTAAGATTTGCTACCTTAATCTTTAGATGACCTTTCTGAAATCACCAGGCTTGTTCCTGTGGGATCTCTCCCACAGTGCTGTCTCATTTAAGTGATAATGACACACGCTTCCATTTTTATGTAGGTTCTGTGACCTGTCCTGCAAAACCAAATGCTGATTTTAAGCCAGGAGAAAAATACCCACTCCTCGTTTTTTCCCATGGACTTGGAGCTTTTCGGTAATTCAGCAGTTTGTTGACAAACTATTTTTGTCATCCATGGAGACAATAGTCTCTAAGAATGGTTCTGAACAGATTTTCAGTAGGGGGGTGAGATCCCTGTGGAGTCAAAAGAGATGTGAAGAACAAGCTGCTGTGTATCAGCATGCTTCCACTGAAATCAATGCCAGGAAATAAAGGCAGGGTTGGTTTCTTTATTTCTGCTTCTCAGTTATATATATTTTAGGGGTGCAGGTATTTACCCATGCATAAATACATTGTGAGGACTAGGTAGTTATCTTTGGACAGCTCTTTGAAAATGCAATATGTCCCATGTGCTACTTTAAGAATTATTAACATTTTCTGATGAATAGGTACTGAAACAGTAACAGGGTGTAGTGCAACAAAAAGCACCCTTGGGTGACTGGCATACAACAGCCTGCTCTGCTCGTTAGCAAATTAAAGCAGAGAGAAGAAATACAGAATGGGGGCTAGCACATACAGGGTGCAGTGTTTAAGGAGCAGTGCAACTGAACTCATGAGTGCGTGTGTATCACCAGTGTGGTTCTGATTGCAGGACAATCTATTCTGCTATTTGCATAGAGATGGCTTCTCAAGGCTTCATAGTGGCTGCAGTGGAGCACAGGTGGGTACATTGTGTGCTCTTCAGTTGGATGGAGAGAAGCTTTCTGGTAATAAATAGTTACATGTAAAGATTTTTTTTAAAGGAGTAACTAGTATCTCACATTCAGCCCCAACCCCTTCCCTAGCTCACTTCCTAGCTAACCAAAGGGAGATAAATTTGAAGCCCTTTAATGCAAAGTCCTGTGGCACGTATCATTTGTCATTCTTCAAGCACACTATTTTTCTCTTTTATTGGTAGAACCTGGTGAACATAATGGTGGGGGGAGTTTTGGTGGGGCAGCACTGGTTGGGAGCTTGGATTTCTTGAAGAAAGTGAAAGCTAAGGCTTCTTTTGATTTCATCCC